GGGTGGCTCGGGGGGTTCATTTGGCAAGCCTTCGGTTGGGGTTGCGCCACAGAAGTCAGTGGCCTGTCCACCAGGCCCACGGGATCTTCTCTACTGTTTAGCTGGAAGAAGGGCAGTGGAAATGCGATCGAGGTCGTGAGCTGAGATATTTCAAGAAGAGATGCTTCTGCACACTTTTCCCCAGATATCCCAGGAGTGGTTGGAGATTTCTCCCAACAGAGAGATTTGATATCATATCATTGATATTCCGTGGGAGCGCATGTCTTATATTTGGAGACTTCTGCCGTAGCCCCATGTCTTTAAAGCTGACAGCAGAACTGGAACGGATCTCTTGCAGAGATCAGAGTATCACCTAAGTGACCAGAGTTTTTTGATACACCGATGCAGCTCCGATTTGTCCCGGGCTGTTCAAGCAGGACTGACCTGTCCCAAGAATCATAGGCAGTTTCTGGCCACCTGGTTGGGGGGTGGTTCTTGCCAGCCAACAGGTGGTGCAAACCAAAGGCGTTGACACTGTCGAGGCGTTTTGGGCACTGGGTCTTCGCCGAAATTGGAGGGGAAGCTTAAGTCATGGGGGATCCCCAAGTCACCATGGGTTGAAACTAAAATGGTTAAATGACTTGGATGATAACTGGGGGTACTCCCATTTTTGGAAACCTCCATATAGAGCACTCTGTTCATTGATGTGACCTACAGGGTACTTGTACCGTCTTGTAGGTGAAATGACCCTCCACCAGCATCCGCCATTCCAGGTCGTTGCTTCGCTGGTCTATGACAAGATGGAAATTAGCACAGAAGATCCCAACATGCCGTGGCTCTCGCTTGTTCTGCAAAGGGATGAGAATTGGAACACGCTGTGAATGAGATCAGTTAAAGGCTTAGGTTCAGAAATTACGTTTTTGAGTTGAAAGCTCTGAAACTTGCCACGTGGGGTTGTCTCAAAATGGGGAATACCCACGAATGTGGCGATTTTAGTCAGTTGAGCCTTTGCCAGGATTGGTGCGGCTCACACTTCACCTGCTGCACCTTGGATGGTGATGTGCTGCTTTGTGAAAGGTGATGCTTATACCAGGAACAAAGATGAGCAAATCTGTTTGTCGGTTTAGTTTATTTTGAATAAAAAATCCTATCCCACCTGGGATGATGATCCTAGTCTGAAATCACCAACCAGTTGAAGCCGCCTGGAAAACCCCAATTTTAGGTGAATTGGCTGACTTTTTTTTTTTGGCTTTCTATGGGGGCCTTTTTTTTTTTTTGTGGGATCCCTGGGATCCCTGGGATCCACCGCAAATTCCCCAGGTGAAGCTGGTGCAGGGCACTGCGGATCGAACGCTCTGCTGGGTTTCCCCAGCGATGGGCGCGGATGGTGGCGCCTGTTCGCGTTGTAGCTAACCCGGCAAATCATTGGGAGATACCGGGGGAAATTTTTCGGTGTAGTCCGTGGATGTCCGTGGCATACTCATCTAGACCACAAATTGCTCACGGAAATCATCCTGGTAGTTTTGTCGTTCTTTTTCACCAACAAACTGGTTTTTGAAAGCCAGCACAACTGAGGGGTTTGATGGGTATATGATTAATTTTAGTTTCAACTGCGAACCGGTTATTTTTAGATATTTTTAGCATCCAACAAACGGACAACTTCAGGTATGCAAATGACTTGATCCATAACACATACATACATATGTTAGATATATAATATATATATATATATAAATAAATATAAATAAATATATATATATATAAATAAATATATATATATATATGGGCCCTATCTTTCAGCAAGAAGACAAGACGAACATGCTAGCAGCTGCTATCAAAAAACACGGGGCTTGCTTTCATCCAATGTTCCCGGACATGATATGTCTCAAAACACGACCAGTGACACTGTGGCTATGGAGATTTTCAGCTGGAAATGAAGATATCATGGAATGCATGGTGGGATGATCCCGGCCAAACCCCTTCAACTTGGTTACCATGAAGCATACTAGGCAACTATTTTTCTAGGATGGTTGTGATCAGTGACGATGAGGAGAATTCAACAACCCATGTGACTACCAGATAATTTAAAATGACCAGAATGATCAACTATGATTGCTAAGGTTGCATCCTGTGGGGGCCCATGTGAAATTATCTATGAAGATATTCAAGTATGAAGTTTATTATGAACACTGTATATTCACATATATAGAAATGCATTATGTATATATACATAATACTTGATATCTATAGACACAAACATTTGTAAATGTATGTATATACAGCATTCATATACAGCACACATATGATGCAGTGGTAGTATGTCTAATGTATTAATGTATCCAAATGCTCAGCCGACAGGTCAAAGCTCTGCCTACGATGTTGGTTGCCTCAGCAATCAATGCCAGGGTAGGGCAGGGCTTGGAAAAATATGGCTGAAACCATGGGATATAAAATATACCCTCTGGTTATTTAACATAGCCATGGAAAATAACCCATTTATAGATGATTTTCCATGGTTTACCTATTAAAAATGGTGATTTTCCATGGCTATGTTAAATAACCAGACGGTAAGCTACATAAGTTGGGATAGAATCCCTACTATGGTCACTATCCACTTACTGTAGTTCACTGGAACGGCACTTCCTAAGTAGATGTCCCCTTATTTGAAGTGACAAACCCATTTGAATGACCTGCATTTCGAAGCTGCACGTGGAATTGGAAGGTATCCTGAACAGCTTCGGAGATGCCCAAGGTGTTGTAGTTTTCCGGCTTGAGCCGAGGTGCCAGTAGGGAAAGATGCTATAGGCAATGCAGCCGGAGCCTCTGATTTTCGCAGCATCAATGGAGCCATCAATGGTGGCCGGTCACTTGATGTTGTACCGCTCTGAGAGTTCCCAGGCTATTTCAAACGTCACTTTCCACGTTTGCAGCACAGAACCTGTCTCTTCAGGATTTTTTAGGTTGCCATTCTGAGCATTGTCACCAGTTTTGTTTTGTTTTCCGCTTGAGGTTATCTCAAGTTATCTCCAAATGTGGAACCCCATAATCCAATGGTTGGCCTTTGTTTTCCCTATTAACATCGCAATTTTGATGTATTCACCATTAGGCAAAGCCGTTTGGAATCATGATCTTGAATGTGCAGGGCGATAGGCATAGTTGAGCTCTAATTTCTCCTGTACAGAACAGATTTGGGAATGAGTCAGTCAAAACCTTATGATACCACATTGGTGGATGAAAGTCGAGCAATTTTGATATTCGCCAGGGTCTTTGGGGGTTTTGAGTTTTTGATCACTACGCACTACGGGTGCTGAGGGAGACTTGGGCAAGACAAATGGCGCCCTGTCATTGACGAATTCAGGGAACCTGCTGACCAACTCACAGGTGCGTCCATCCCCAGGTGGGTGATATGGTGAAAAATCTCCACTCAGTTGATGCAAACTCTGGGTAGGACCATAGGGTTACCCTCTGGTAACCTAACATAGCTATGGAAAATCACCATTTTTAATGGGAAAATCAACTATAAATGGGCTATTTTCAATAGCTATGTTAAATATTGTTAAATTACCAGAGGGTAAAGTTATATAAATGATTCATACTGATTCATAATGATTTTACTGGTCACTTGCTCTGCACATATAAGCTATAGTCTTCCAAGCTCTTCCCCTGTTCTGCCGGCCCCTCTTTTTGCAGCCTTTTCGGCGAGGGGCTTCAGCGACCTGTTGGCAGCTGGATAACTCATGGCGACCTCAATGCGTTTTTCCAAAAAATGATGGTCAATGCCGGGGAAGGCTTCAAATATGGACGCAAATCAGGTATGGAATTGAGGATACCCTCTGGTAAACTAACATAGCTATTGAACATTGCCATTTATACTGGATTTTCCCATTAAAAATGGTGAATTTCCATAGTTACGTTAGTTTACCAGAGGGTATTCTCTAGATGCACCATCCCAGAGATTTCTTATTGTTGTAATTGTTGTTCTCTTCATTTGCGGTTGCTGTTACAACGCGAAAATTAACTCGTCGCCATGGCACGAGTTGCCCTTGTCACCTGCGGGGAACTCGGAACTCGTGGTGGTCCGGTGTTTTTTGGGCAGTCGGGGGGCAGGCGTTGACTCAAGTTGGGTCTCCCACTTTGCCATTGAGTTTTCTGCAAAAGATGAGGGGGACCATCAGCTTCTTGACGTTTTGGGGTGTAATTAGCTACGTTGGCAACAAATTCGGACGACCACCGTTTGTCTTATACATTTGTACAAGCACTGGGCTTTGCTAGGCTAGAATCCCAGAATCAGTTATTTTTTTTTGCACGTGGATGATGCAGGAAAAAGGATTTTTTTTCGGTCTCAGGCAGATTGAAATTCTACAATTGTGGACAGTTCACCATGTTCACCAGTTCGGCGAGTCTATTGTGCCCAACCAAATCCTTTGGATGGGACAATCAAAAGTTAAAGCTGAGGGATCTGTGGCGCTGACATCCCAGTGGGGGACTACAAACTGGCAAAAATGTTGGTCATTTGGAAGATTTTGGAACTACATTGATATTAAATCTATATTATATATATATATATTCATATGATATTGTTTGATGTTTTTCAGAAATTCGTTTCCCAAAATTCCCGGGATGAATGGCTCAAAATCAGCCTAGTGATGACCCACAGAAAACAAATGCGCGCCTGAACCTAGCTGGATGTAACATGCTGGGCGCAGTCATGACAGGATGGTCAAAACATCTATCAGCACTGTTTTTGTCTTATCATTGGGCAGTAAATTTGCAGTATCTATAATTTAAACGTTACTAGATCAAGTATAAATCACATAGATAAGCGAATGAAGATGTATACTATCTCCAGTGATACCATATCTATATTTTCTTCAGAAACATTCACAGCGATGATGGCGGGGTATATCTGTGCATTTTTTTGTACATACGAGAGCAAATATATAACCACTGCAGGCCCCATGCCTCGGGAAAAAAGGACCAACATTCACTACCTGCCCACGCTGAAACGACTTGTCCTCGCCATGGATGACTTTGGCTGTGAGCTGCAGCCCCTGAGCTCCCTTGGGAGCGAAACCGACGCTTCGCAGGTGACTCGCGGTTTCGGCAAAAATTTGGTAGGAATGGCTGCTGGCTTGTGCTAAGATATTCCAGGTCTGTATGCTTGCCACAGACTATGGATATTCAATCAAATAGATCACCATCTCAGCCAAGTGGGTAACAAAAATCAGAGAAAGCGCCTGAAAGATGAGATGACCACCGAAGAAGCTGTCGGTCCCGAGATGAATGGTTTCAGATCCAAACAACCAGCCAAACTGGGTCCAAAAAGGTACACACCCAAACTCCCAGACGAAAGAGAAAGACTCCCAAATTTGAACAGAATTTGATATTACGGTATTAGCAGTAGTATTAGGACGATGACATGAACGTCATGAACCATGGCCTCCTTTTGCTATATTTTGCTGCGTTCCCTCGAGGCATCTTGGCTGCGCCCCAAAGTGGCGTGCGGCCGCCGGACGCTCGGGGCGCTGGGTCTGGGAACTGTCCTCCTGGCAGCTGTGCTGCTGTGGCCACGCCAGGTGCTGATGCCGGAGCCGAATGTGAGAAGGGATGAGAATTCGCCTATTTTGGCCATGCACATGTCTACTCATTTCATCTCATTTGTATATTATATATATTATAATATGATATAATATGATATAATATAATATGATATAATACAATATAATATAATATAATATAATATAATACAATATATAATACGATATATGATATGATATGATATGATATAATATAGTATAGTATAGTATAATATAATATAATATAATATATATGTATATCATATATCTATATGTGTATATATATATGCATACACATAGATATGAATATATATATATATACATACACTTATCTGTATGCAAACATGTTGTATATTCTGTACATTGAAAGATATATAGCATGTACACCACGGCTGGTCTGCCAGGCAGCTGCCATTGAGTCCCAGCCGGAGATGGAGCTCATTGAGTCCTGGGAGGATCTGCCAGGCATTGAGGAAGTGGTGCGAGAAGCACAGGAGCTGCCGATACAGCAAGTGACCTGGCTGGCTGGGGATATTCCAATGGGTGAACTCTAGCAACAATGGGGACAGTACCCTCTGGTAATTTAACATAGCTATTGAAAATGGCCATTTATAGTGGATTTTTCCATTAAAAATGGTGATTTTCCATAGTTATGTTAGTTTACCAGAGGGTATCCAACCTTGCAGGTGACACCTGAAGACTTTTGAGGCAGTTCCTCCAGTCATCAAGAGCAAGGGTGTAGAACAGGCTTCTGAAGATCGATTACCACATGGGTTGGCAGATAATTCCAGGTAGGACTGACCGGCAACAGCCGGGCAATAGCCTGCTGAAAAAAAGCACCTCCTCGCTGGCCATGACCTCCACATTTGATCATTTTTCTGTTGAAACCTGACAGAGAAACTGCCAAGTTCTCCCCAGGCACGTGTGTCTGCCCAGGTGACTCTTCCAAATGAATGGAACCTCACCGAATGTGTCATTGATGGGTTTCAGGCACATTGTGGTGGAATCGCTTGAAATGATCGCTACCCATTCGTGGCACTCCGTCAATGATTCAATTTAAGCACTCGATCAATGCCCTTCCAAGCAGTGCAAGTGTAGGCAACATGGAAAAGAATCATCGCTTTGCAACAGCAGCCTACGTCTTGGCTTGGTGTCAACAGATACTCTACAGTCTACAGTTGTCAGTCAGTAGCACTATCAGTTGTTTGTTCCCCAAAATTTCCATATTTTTGCCAACAAGACTTGGATTCCATAAAAAAATAGGTCCACCATTTTTCAGGACTCTCCAAATATAATACAGACCTGTGACCTTTGGGAAATTGCCAGGCGATGACCTACCTGGGCACCGCTGTGCTGGAGCTCTACCAGGTCGCTCGCATCAAAGGATCGCGCTGCCCCGACGACTCCCCAGCCGGATGCGCGGTCACTGGGCGCCGTTGGTGGCGAAGCTGGGAAGCTGGGAAGCTGGGAAGCTGGTTGTGATATCTGAATAGACATAAGAAAAGTCGGAAAGACTGGGTGTTCTGCTGCTGATGATAATGATGATGATGATGATGATGATATTGCCAGTGGGTGGTTAGATGATATGAGACTCTACTGTACAGAATTGGCGCTTGGCCCTGTGACCTCGACGAAAGTGATGTTGCATGACTTGGTCCATTCAGAAAGCCTATGTATACCTTTGTGTTTTTTCATTTTAATGAGTACTGATGGTGATTTTACCAAATTTCACCATTAATCCATTAGTAACCATGAAATTCACCATTAGTAGTTCATTTTAATGGTTACAAATGGTGATTTTACAATCGTCTTTTTGGTTTTTCTATGCACTGCACACATCATCTTTAGCTTCTCCTCATGCAGGCGAGCGTGGCGGGAATCTTTGCTGCCATGCGCCTTTGGCGCAATGGGCGGGTGACCATTACTGGACGACTGGATGTCTCCACGAATGGTTTTTTCATGTTTTTTCCAAGAAAGGATAGCTGATAGCTTCCCACAAGATCCCACAAGCACATGATGACTTTCAGGTTGTTGATGAAACCATGAATCAGTCAGATGGGCTGGAAATGAACGGTGAGGGATTTCGTTCCGAGATCCTGGGTCGGAGCCTACCTCTCCATGGCTGCCAATGCATGCGTTGCGGTGCCTTGGCAGTCTTGGGGTGGTGGGGATTGACGATGGTGTTGGGGCTATGAACCTACGATATTTTTGGGATCATCCATGTAGACAGAACCATTTTATAGTACGATAGTAAAGTAGTATAGTCTGTATAGTCAATACAACCAGACAAGTGCAATGAATTTAAACAGAATAATTGCATCAGAACCAGGCCTTTCATTGGCAATCTTGATCATCAAACAGGACACTTTTAAAATCCTCCATGTATGCTCTTGGGGGGCTCATTTTTTTGGCGAATTTGAACAACATCAAAATCAAAGCTGTTGTTCGAACGAGATGCATACATCTCAAAAAGAGGATGCCATCAACCACAAATCAAAAGATTGATCTTTTTTTTGGTGTAGTGTTAGTCAACCAAGACCAGCCCCAGCCAGCTACCTTGAACCGTTCACCTTGAACCTTTAAACGTTAGACGACGGCAGGCGGGTGATACGAAGGCCAACTGTGCCAACGATTGGCTCACCTTCATGGCCTCGCTGTCTGAAGTCGCGGTAGCTGGGGCTACGGAGCCTCGGGCATTCGGCGTTCGGCGAAAGGTCTCCTGGAAAGGTCCCCTGAATTTGGGTGTTTGCCAAGAAGAATGGGGATCATCATGATGTGAATATTTTTTGGGAATAGATATGGGATACATGATATATGATATATATATATATATACATATATATATATATACACATATTTATTCATGTATATATATATACATATGCATTATGCATATATATATATGCATTATGCATTATGCATATGTATATATATATATGGGTATAACGTGTTTCACCACCCCCACCCAGTGTTTTCAAGCATTCTATATGTGCACGTTTCAGAGATGTTGTGCCCGTTTCAGAGATGTTGTGCACGTTTCAGAGATGTTGTGCACGTGTCACAAAAGTTGTGCACGTTTCACAAGTCCCCTAATAACGTTCGTGGTTAACTCTATACATACTGAGCGCATTCTAATCAGCAAAAGCATTGGGGCGACCAAACACGTTCTCAGAATATATATATATATATGTATATAAATGTAACTAAGAATGATATAGGGTAGTTGGGTTCGGAAAGCAATAATTAAACATGAAAAGAACATCCCAAAATGTGACAAACTGGGTCTAGAGCATTGAACCCCGCACTTTTGTTAAATTTGACATAGCTATTGACAATCACCATGGTCAAATAGGTAAATCATCAATACATCACCATTTTCCAGTTCGCTATGTTAAATTACCAGAGGTTATTGGATTGAACTTTCTGCTTTGTTGCTTCGTCATGTTCTCAAAAAAATGTCACGAGTCGCGGAAATCTATGGAAATCTTGGAAGCCAAGGTTTCCGAGGACTGCAACTTCGATAAAGATTGGTTGAAACTCCTGAAAATCACCAAGGACGGATATGGAGAAATACTTCGGAATACTCACCTGTTATTACTGTTATTCTCCAGAAAGATTGGTTGAGGACTGGGCGAACGAAAGAAGTAGGTTGACTTCACTGACCTCGCTACAGATGACGGTTAGCAGGGGCAACTACTCAAAATGGCTTCATTTCTGCTTCGGGATCTTTAGCAGTTTGCCCAGAATACAACACATTCCTTGCATTCCTACCAGTCTCCATATGCCACTGGAAGGAGCAAACGGTACCTAAATTGCTTCCAAGATTGATTACTTCATGCTAGAGTGCTTGACTGGACACGTGTGGCTTGGAAGATCCTCAAGCAAATTGGATTAACCTCCAGCTATAGCGGCTGTTTTGATTTTGGCTTGTGACCCAAAGCCATATACTGCTACCACTGTCTGCAGGAGGAGGAACCTGGGTGGAAGAAATTTGTTCCAGCAGCAGCAGGGCCCAAAGTCGACACGGTGATCAAGTTCGACAAATTGAACCGGGCTACTCTGGCCCAATGGGAGATCCGCTGGCCAGTTTCTAGAAACCTCGAATGTTCATATTGCATCAGATTGCCTGTAGCTCGATTCAAATCACGAAAGGTAGCGTCAGCTACCTGAGTTCTCCGTGCTTCAGCACAAGCTTAGGGGGTATTGGGGGGCCAGCCCGTGGAATTCATGGAATTCTCGCCGTTATGTATTGGATATCAATTATAAGGGGGCCCCCCTCCCCGAAAATGGTCATGGGTTCAATTCCCACGGGTGACGCGGTCACGGGCCCCCACATTAGAGGCACACTTTCCATGAGGGAGATGTCCCTGTAGTCCAGCATAATTGGTATGCTTCAGCCTCAACAACAGTTGCTGAAAGGGGTCTTAAAAAGGGGTTTTAAATAAACCCCTTTTCGTGCATCATTTCACGCAGCACAAGACACAGTGTCATGCAGTCATGCTCTGGATAAAATCATCTTAGACAGCGCAGAAACGTTTTTGGTGTATCATCTTAGGGGCGCAGCATTTTGACACCACTCCTCTCCCACTACACTACCTTTCGTCCGCCTCCGCCTGCTCTCAAGTGACATGAACAAACATAAATACGTAGCTAAACCCAAGTGTTTAAAGAGTTCTATGAGTCTGTCACCTAAGCAGCCCCAAAGTCCTTCCACAGCCCTGCCTTGCACTTTCTTGCAATAGATAAATCAATAGATTAAGAATTTAATAGATAAAGCAATCAACGGAAAAAGAAACCAATAGATAGATCGGTAGATTCCGATAGATAAATAGACAAGCAAGCCAAAAAATAAATCTTTTGCCATCCCATTTCCAGAACCTCTAGCCCCTGAGCAGTCACATACTCCCTCTTGTCCCGAAACTCCGAGGCGCATGAAGTCCGGAATTTCAACTGGGCCGTGTGCGCCTTTGATGTCTCGAATTCATTGGCCTACATCGTGCGAGAGGTGCCAATGAAAAAAATGATAACATAGATCACCGACAAAAATGAGGGACAGACATCCAATCATCACTTGGGACAATGATAGCTACTTTCAGGATTGATAGGGAAACAATGCCCCGGAAGTAATGTAGATGAGATTGATACCAGCCCCACAGAAAAACTTGTTGGTGAAGATTTGATATTGTGATGAGAGACCAGACATGCTATGCATTCCTCTGACGGCTCAGTTCCCTATCAACATCCACCAGTTTGGGGGTCAACATTTGGCAACTTTCCAGGTGATCCAGATCAAACAAGCCGTGCAAGCCTGCCCGGATCCGTACAATTGCGCCATCTCTATCTTGCAGCTTGTCCAGTATATGGTGTTGGTGACAGTCGCCGGGGGGTATACCATGGTATACCCACCATTTCGGGATGAAAGATGTCAAGACTGGCAAATCGAGGAACGTCCTTGCTTCGTTTGGCTGGATCGTTCGCTTTGGTTCGGTGATGGCCGTTGACTGCACCAACGATGAAAACCAGCGAGTGACGTGTGCCTCAGATATCGCGGAAATGTGACCTGCCGAAATTTTGACGGAATATTTGGACAATTGATGACACAACTATTTTTTTGGGGAACCCAATTTTTAAAAGTATCAGATGGGTCAGAGATTCATGAATTTACATTGAGATGAACCTCCTGGAAGTGGAACACATTACTAAGCAACTGGCAGGTGGCCTGTCTTTCCAAGCTTTTGGGATGCCCAAATTCTTGAAAACACCTGGAGCAGCCTGATGGACCAGGAGATTTCCCCAAAGTTAGGAATCGCACCCGGGCACCCCAAGATTTTACCCCTGGCGTAACATGGCTTCATTAGTATCAGTTCTATCGCTATTCAGATCCACTATAATCAGATATTGAATTTTAATGATATAATCTTACCCCTCATCTGAGTATATCTTTTCATGTCCATTGATGCCATTTTTTATCATCCAATTTTCTAAAGAATCGACAAACCACGGAGATGAACTGAGGTTTGCGGGCCTGGTGAATCTACCAGCCAATGGCCGCTCAGTGAGGGGATCTATTTTGGTATTTCATATTTGAATATCTAGAAATCTAGATCATACTATTATATATAATATATACAGTCCCTGTAATATATATATAAACATCGAAGCGTCTCTACTCTTCTCCTCGATGGATTTGTGTCTAGATCTAAATCTGATCCAATCTAGTCTCATCCAGTTCGGTTTAATCGACTCTAGTGTAATCAAATCCAAATCTTAATCTCAATCAAATCCATCGACTCTATCCAACTCTTTGCTTGTATCTCATCCGTCTAATGGGATCTAATTTTATATAATCTTAACTGATCTAATCTCATCCGATCTACTAATCCAATCTCATCCGAACCAATCAAATCTGCTTTGATCTAATCCAATGTACTGTCATGTCATCTAATCTACCTATCGATGCATCTACCGACTCACCTACCTATCCGTCTGCCTCCATTTGCCTATCCATCTACCTACTATACATCTACCTATTCATCTACCTACTACCTATCCATCTACCAATCCAATCTACCTATCCATCTACATCTACCTATCCACCTAGCTATCCCTCTACCTATCCATCCATCCATCCATCCATCCATCCATCCATCCATCCATCTCTGTATCCCTGTCTATCTGTCTATCTGCCTATCTGTCTATGCAACTATCTCTGTATTTGTCTATGTATCTATCTCTGAATCTCTCTGAATCTCTCTACCTCTGTCTCTACCTATTTGTCTATCTGTCTATCTCTCTACCTATCTATCTGTCTATCTACCTATCTATCCTCTGTCTATCATTGTCTATCCTCTGTCTATCTCTGTCTATCTCTATCTATCTTTGTCTATCTCCAATATTATCTATCATTGTCAATCTATATCTATCTCTATCACTCTCTATCTACCTCTTTCTACCTCTATCTATCTATATCCACGGATTTATCAATCAATCAATCTATCAATGGCTCAATCTATCAATCTACCAATCTATCAATCTATGATACTTGAACACACACCTTTCATTATGGTGCCCAACGCTCTTTCCGTTTCTTTTTTCCGAAGAGAAAACAACCACACGAGACGTGCTGAATTTTTGTGGCTGGATCCAGTCCCAGTTTCTTTTCTGGGGGATAGGGGATGGTTTGTTGCAGTCCATGCAAGTTCTGCTAGTGTTTGATTGCTTGGTGTATGATACGCATGATGGGTCAGGGCCTAGGGGTTTTGAAAGTCTGGTTCCATCGTGACGATATTTCCCCGCTGGTCTAGGTATGGCGTCCACTGGAGATTGCGCCTTCTGAGCCGTGGGGGCCCACACACATTTTGAACCCCCAAAAACTATTCAAAATGCTCTACTTTATTTGTGGAAACCCTGCTGGTTGGGGGCACTGACATTTTCAGACCCAGTTTGATGGACACTTCGGTTTGTGTGTTTCGCAACGAATTTGGGTGTGCAAGGGTTTATTGTGCCCGGCTTCCCAAAATGCACTTGCTTCACCCCTCTCTTCAGCTTGCTGCGTGAAGTCATTGATTGAGGGGAACATCATTTGGAGAGGCAGAGTGCTTGGGCAACGTGACTTGACCCCTAAGAAGTGGCTATGCCATCCTCCAAAAACTCTTTGGGTCTGTCTACAAATTCGGGACCACCATGGTGTGCCGTGTGCCTCTGTGGTGCTGGATTTTTGGTGGCCAGCTCCTCTTCGGAGTCATTTCGTGCCCCTGTCAGCTTGCTGCTTCAAGTTGCACTGATTGGCAGGAGCTGTCGAAAGCCTGGGAGCGGGGCATTTCTTTGGAAGGTTTGGACATCAAACGGATCCCATTGATGCCCAAGAAGTGGTACCATGTATGACCCGTTCAATCACCAAAAAAGGTCACTCCTCAGCCCAGAGTCTTATCTTTTTGTTGGCGAAGCCAGCCATTTGGACGCGTGATGGGCTTCGGTCGGATTCGAAGCACTTTGACCGAAAAAGGCTTCATGGACAGGGCCCGAAACTTCAACCCATAGACCCATAGACATCCAGAGACCAAATAGTCTATTTGTTCTTATCTGAATCCCATTTCTGCAGATGACATGTCGCCACTTTTCCAAAAACTTTTCTCTTTTTTGTAATGCTCATGAGTATCCACATGATATATACATCTTGATTGTCTCATTTGGTCTAGATCTTCCCATTTATCAATGGATTGGTTTAAGGGAAAATCTACAGGAAAGCATGGTTTTTACCATAAAATATAGGGGTTTCCTGTAAATTTTCCCATCATCCAATTCTATGAATTTAGTGATCCCAATTCCCGAAACTCGGATCGCCCCTGGGATTTTTCTCGCCCGAGGCGACGCGGAAGCTCCTCCTGGAGCTTCAACGCCTCTCCGGACAGGGTCCAGTGCCGAGGTTTGGGGGGGTGGAGTGGGTACCATTGGGGGAGAGGGGGTGTGGGGTGTGGGGGTGTGGGGGTCCAGAGACCGGGCTTATATATATATATACACACATATATATATATATATACATATGACATAGGAATTTCTGAATACATATTCATAGACGGAGCCATGTAGGTGTGGCAATATGCGCCGAGGTCCTCGAGGTTATTCCGGAGCCGAGCCCAGCCGGGGGAGCCTAGTGGGGTTCCACCTGAGTTATGGTTGAGGTGTGACCCCATTGGGGTACCTTGGATCGAAAGATAGGTCATTTGGAGAATCTGAACAGGATTGTTGAGACCGGACCCTCTCAAAGTGATGCACTTTTTGGTGGGAAAATTTGGAGACACTTCCTCTTAAATCAAAGGCTCTTTGAATTTGATGCTTGAATCTCAATGAGTTGCGCATCAGGATGTGTCAGGTGGATTCAAAATCAGTGCCAGATCTGCATCGTGCAACAATCGCAATTGGGATATGGCTCAACCACCAATCGCATGATGGATAGAAGCCGCCCAACATATGTGATGAACTTGAGGCTGGTGAGTTCCTAAGAAGCCAACCCACTTAACCAACTTGATATCCTGGAGGATTGCAGCTGATGCTGTAAGGTTTCTGGGACTAGATGGGAAGACACCAGTAGACACCATTTATCCCATGAAAAACCATGAAAAGTTCAACCAACTCTAGCAGGGCATCAACAAATGCCACTGGTCACCAGAGGATGCGGCCCATTCCGGTCCATGGCGTTGCTCGTTGCCGGCGGAAACAGCAGCTGCTACCAGCTTGTCTCGGGGCGTTGATGGTCCAGGTCATAGCCTCAGAATCCATGAGATATTCACAAGATCAATGGGAATTTCAGGATCCTAAAATGGAGGTACCATATATAAGGCCTATATAAGGGCCATGTAAGGGGATATCCCCCCAAAATATGGCCTTATATGGTACAGTACCTCCATTTTAGGATCCTGGAATTCCCATTGACAAGATCTGTGTACAACTTAAAGAATCTTGGCTCACAGAATTCCTCAGTGTTGGACATGTGAAGAAGCTCTCATCTAGATGGCTAGATATGGCTAGATGGCTACAGTAGATGCTTTTTGATGGTCGCTTGGCTTAAGTTCACATTTTGGGTCTCAACGGCAGATAGTGAGTGGACATAGCCCCATCACAATTCTTGTTTACATTCTTTTTGTATCTTTTGCTGCTCTTGTATCATCTTATATATATGCTCCATTTCTTCCTTGTGAATGAATGCCTCCTATTTTCTTTCTCTTACCAATCTTATTGCGTATTGGGTGTGTCTGCTTTTTTCGCAACCCCCAAACAGATAGAACAACCAATTATGATGAATTACCACGAATTACCACAAATGACCACTATTGCGACTATTCATTCGTAGGTCCTGCTGAGACCTCCACTGGTTGCTGTGCAACGCTGGAAGATCCAGGTGGGACTGTGGTCGCCTGGTCCATGAGGATTGGAAGAAAGGAAAAAACCTGGGGGTTCTGGGTAAACCAACTGTTGAATGGGAGGATAAATTGACATTTTGAGCTTTCTCTCTCTCTCTCTATATATATATATATGTATATGTACATGTACATGTATATGTATATGTATATGTATCTGTATGTGTATGTGTATATGTATATGTATATGTAGATGTAGATAGATAGATAGACAGATAGATAGATAAGATTAGATAAGATTAGATAAGATGAGATAAGATGAGATAAGATGAGATAAGATTAGATAAGATTAGATAAGATAAGATAAGATAAGATTAGATAGATAGATAGATATATAGATAGATAGATAGATAGTCACATAGTCATATAGTATGTAAATATATATAAAGTGTAAAGTAGATTTTTGACTTTTGGCAGGGTGTCTAGGGTGAAACAGTAGAATTTCTATCAGCAACATGGGGACGGATCCGACAGAATGGTCTCTTTAGCCAACCAGTTGTCTCACCAAAGCATTGCAGGTATTCCTAGCTTTGGGAAGCAAGGGACCCCTGGGGGATTCAGGTGGCATACGACGGCTCTGACTTTCTTGGTTGGCAAAGCTTGGGCGACAAAAGCACGGCCCTCGAGCTGGGAATTTCGCTGTTGGGATCCACAGGTTTAAGTGAGCCATCGCCCTACAGAGACAACAAGTCAAAAGTGGACAAAAGTCCAAAAGCCTCCAGTCAATACTTGGCTCTTTTGGTGGCCAAAATCAGGTCAGTTACCCCATTTAAGTTGATTCTGGATTTTTGATCAGCCTGATCCAACCCACCAAACTAAAACGCACAGATCATTTCAGCATGGAAGCGGCCTGGCCCCAAGGTGCGCGCACCGTCCATGGAAGTCTGTTGACGGCCCTGATGAAGTCTCATCCCCAGTATGGAGCCTTGGCCGAGGTGAACAGGGCTTTGGGATCCAAAAATGGGGGATGGGTCCAAAAATTAGAACCCTGACGCTGAACATGATAGGGTACCATGGAGTAGCCTATTTTGAGACAAGCCCAGATGGCAAAAAGCTTAATGCTTAGGATTTGATAAGCTGAAAGAGCTGCAGGAAGAGAGAAAGAGCGGAAAGAAAGCTGAGGAAAGGAAGGGACATATATGCATAAAAGGAGATCAAAGGGAAGAAAAGGAAACAAGAGGAAAACAACAAAAAAAATCAAGAAAACAGGGAAGCAAGAAAGCAAAACAGCAAGAAAGCAAGAAAGCAAGAAGAAAGCGAGCAAGCGAGAAAAACAAGAAAGAATGCACGCAAGGAAGGAAGAAAGAGAGACTGCAATGGCGAAAGAACCAGAAAGAAGCAAGCAATAAAGAAAGACAGCCATACAGATACTGCAGATAGATAGATGGAAGTATGCCAAATGCGTGTTTACATTAAGAAGCTCTCATACTTCCAGAGGTTTCAGGTGTGTCTTGACTTCCGTTTGATTGTGGGCCGGGGTGGAGGTGGGAACCCAGGAAAGGGCAACTCTCATCACCTTTTCCAGCCCTTTGGCTTCGGTGGGGTGACTTTCCATGGTGTTTTCAACGGGTTTTCCATAGATGTTTTTTTCCCCATGGTTGTCCCATTGTCTTCCCCTAGCTTTTCATGGGTTTTCCATGATATTTTCATGTGCAAAATTTCAGCACCAAGGCCGCCATATAGCCGGGCCGGTACCTCAGCTTGTGGGCTGCTCGCGCACTGATCGGGGCGTTCATGCAGAGGTGGGGGAACGGGATGTGTGGAGGCTATGAATTATCATAGGGATGTTAATATTATAGGTATAGATTATTGTACAATTCCCCATCCTCTAGCAGTAGTGGATAGTCGTCAATAATATCCCTACCAGGGGCGGACGTTTCGAAACAATTATAGGAAATCAATGGTTTCATAGGTGATTTTCACTTATTTGGAACACTTTGGGACCATATGTTTTTTTTTTTCATGTTAGGGCTGTTAGGGGGATGAAACTATTGGGATTTAGGAATGGTATATATCTATATATCTATATATAATTATATATAATTATATACATATAAATAATGTGATTGAACCAGCAGTTTAATGGTGCTGGTTGGGGATAGACTTGGTAAAGACACATTTTTGTATGGGTGTTTCTGACCCACTGGTTGGGGTTGGTGGAGGTAGGTTGAGCTTGAGTGCTTGAGTTGCGATGGGAAACTTGAAACGAGGTTGTGTATCGACCAAAAACGCATTCTTTTGTTGGTTGTGCCCAAAACCTGGGTTTCTTCAAATATGTAAGTGGCTTTCTACGTTTGCCAATCCCCACACTTCTGGCACGCACTCATTTCAACTTCTGAGTATTTCACGAGTTTGCAGCTTTTGTGGGAAGGTCCAACCGCACGGGATGGAGTTGATCAATTTTAGACAGACTTTTGTTAATGCCTGGCCTAGTCACTTCGGATTGAAGCAGGACTTGTTGTTTGAAGATGTGGCAACTGTCTCGATCGATGAAACATCCAGCAGAAACCTCGCAGGGGAGGGCGGTTGAACTCCATCTAACATTCCAAACTGCTATAACGTGGTAGCCTCCCCATGGATTTCTCATTTGACCAGAAACCCAGGTGGTAACTTGCCATCCCCTGCAACTTGCCAGGCGCAAGTGGCGCATGTGGACCTGGTGTCTCTCAGCGACTTGGATGCTGCCACCTTGAAACGCCGCTGCAATCATCGCTTGCCCAGCGACTTGCACCTTGCTGATGGGTGGTGAGGGGGGCCTGGGAATACGGGAGTTCAACCCCGCAGAAGTTGAGATATAACATCTACAACTGTGGTGTGGAGGGTTCCTTGATGTTCCTTGAAACTCCGAAATTCAGATTCGCTGGTGCTGAAGTTGCTGGGGCTGACCGAGTCTCTTTTTCGCTGCAACACGCGTCTCGTGTGTGTTTCGCTGCAGAGGCGCGTGATGGATGTGGAAGCGGATTCTTGGCCAGAAAACGAGGACGCGTTCAAACATGCTGGAGGTATCTGGAGGTCTTGGTATGTGACTACTAAGATTCTGGAGCTGCAGGTGCAGATTTCAAGTACAGTACAACAACCCCCAAAAAGATAGAACAGTATTTTCAGGATGTCATAGATGATGTTCGCTCCATATTTTTCAGGTTTCCAACTCTTCTATCTTTATTAGGCTTCCTATAGCTCTTGCAGACCTCTATCCAGAGTGTCCACGCCTCCAGTGGCTGATGGGGTGAATTCACTAGCCATAACTGGCTTTACCCAGATCCATTGATACATCAAGATGGATCAAGATGGGGATCCAAGTCTTCAATTGTAAAATTTCTACTCTAGATATATATATATATCCACCAGAATTTCAACTTACCTATCGAGGGTAAAACGATGTTTTTAATTCATATATTCACCTAAACAAGCAGTGGCTTCAGTGGATCTCAAAACTTGACATACTGTTGGGGGTGAGACATGCCCCATCCCTAGCACCAGGTTGACCAGAACTTCCACGCAAGGAAATCGGCGCTTAAGAAGCGCCGTGGATGCGTTGTGGCAGGACGTCATGGGATCTAAAAATAAAATAAAATAAGCAGATCTATGTCGGATAAGGAAACTACTGAACCTCAACCTCTCGTGTTGGCCCAAACTCCATGGATCCGCTTGGGTGGTTATAGCCCTACAGCCCCCACTGGCACCACGAAAAATTACTTTACTTCGAGTGATCCCCACCATGACATTTCAAAACAGCTTGTTGACAGCACTTTTGTCTGAAGCTTTTGTCACGGGACTTTTGCCCAACTAACTATCCCAATCATTTGTTTCACCTGGCAGGTCATTGTACAGGTCAGACTGTCAAACAGGATATAAACATGTCAGTGGACCATGTGAAGTAAACTCCAGAGCTCTCAACAGGTTTGTTTAAACATGACCAAACAGGGCAGTGGACCACCTGAGCCAAACAAACAAACATGCCCAAACATGTCAGCACGCCGCCTGTCAAACATGTTTGTACAAACATGACTGAACCAAGCCAGTGGACCCCTGAACCAAAGTCAAAGGCTCGCAAGCTCACGTGTAAACTCGACAAAACCATGCCAGTGTTACTTCATCAGATCGCTGCAGCTGCAACTCTCTATTTCTCCACCAGACCTCTTCAATCAAAACCGATTAGGTCCCACTGGCAGAGCACTGTGTCAGGATGCTTGCAATGCATCATAGACAGGCCAGGACTGCAGCCGCTCCAGCGTCGAAGAAGCTTTGGCTTCCAACTTGTCAGTCAGTTCTCGCAAGTAGGCAGGAGGGCCTTTGCGTAAAAGCTCCTCCACTTGCTCCGTGAACCCCAGCAAGATGAGATTCTTCAGTTTGCGGGCACGCGTCAGCATGACATAGATGGCTAGCCACCAGTCCGCATCCTCTAGGCCACCACCACGACGCAAATCAACCAGCACACCTCCGTCCAAAGTCAAGCCTTGCGCGCTGTAAGCAGTGCGCAGCATGCCATGCAAAAGCGGGAACTGCCAGCGAATCACTTCAATTTTCTCCGTTTCCTCGCCTAGTTTCAAATCAATTTTGAACTCTGCATGCACCAATTCCACAAAGAACAATGTCTTTGCGTCAGTTGTGTGATCGGCCACATTCTGAAACTTTTCTTCCCACGTCTGCAACAGAGCATCTTCCATGGCGAATTCTTTCCTTTAAGTAATTTCACCCAGATATCTTTGGCCATGTAGTCCGGAAAAAAATGACAGAATCCAGGTTCCCGACGGTCCAGGCGCTTCTGATCTTCATGGTGCAAATCCACTTTCACTACCACTGCCAGTTTGTCTTTAACCAATCCAAGGTGTGGAGCCAAGACATCCGCCAGTCGCACAACCATGTTCTCGTGCACCAGTAGCATGCCTTGCAATTTGCCAGTGCGATGCGGGTTTGGAACAGTGAGCAGCTGATGCGTCAGCTGCTTGTCTATGGTTTTATTTTTTCTGGAATGCCTTTGGTCAGCAGCTTGCAAACAAAATAACGGCACATCCAGGTCTTGCGCATCTCGATTTGCCCGTTCCACCATGCTCTGTGTGATGTTGACTGTCTCAAGCATCAATCCAGCATGAGATCCCTTCAAGTAATTTGTAGTAACTTGCTGTAAGATGTTGCCTGTCTCAAGCGTCTTTGCAAACAGCTCCAAAGGTACAGAAATGGAAATGTCTCTGTCCACCCCAGTGACTCTGTCATCTGTTCAAACTGATTGCTTCAAACTTTGCCACCCGCAAAGTCAATAGTGGCATTGCCCCGATCACACTACCACACACCTGCAAGTTCGCAAGTAATATATCACATACTTGTCTGACATTCTTTCTAACTTTCTTCTGCACATTCTTTGTCCCATATCTTCCTACATGAGGTCCGGCAGGGAAAGATTTGCCAGGTAGAATGCCAGAAAATATGCCAGAAGATATGCCAGATAGATATGCCAGAAGATATTCCAGAAGATATGCCAGATAGATATGCCAGAAGATATTCCAGAAGATATGCCAGATAGAATGCCAGATAGAATGCCAGATAGAATGCCAGAAGGTATGCCAGATAGAATGCCAGAAGATATGCCAGATATAATACCAGAAGATCTGCCATATAGAATGCCAGACGATATGCCAGATAGAATGCCAGATAGAATGTCAGAAAAGATGTCAGATAGAATGTCAGAAAGAATGCCAGAAGATATGCCAGAAGATATGCCAGATAGAATGCCAGATAGAATGTCAGAAAAGATGTCAGATAGAATGTCAGAAGATATGTCAGATAGAATGCCAGAAGATATGCCAGATAGAATGCCAGAAGATATGTCAGAATATATGCCAGAAGATATGCCAGATAGAATGCCAGATAGAATGCCAGAAGATTTGCCAGATAGAATGCCAGAAGATATGCCAGATAGAATGCCAGAAGATCTGCCATATAGAATGCCAGAAGATATGCCAGATAGAATGCCAGATAGAACGCCAGAAGATTTGCCAGATAGAATGCCAGAAGATATGTCAGGGAACAGTTGTCATGGATACTCGCGGTTGAGGTCCGGCAGGGAACACTGGGCGCGGATGGTCGTGGTTGAGGTCCGGCAGGGAACACTGGGCGCGGATGGTCGTGGTTGAGGTCCGGCAGGAAACACTGGGCGTGGATGGTCGTGGTTGAGGTCCGGCAGGGAACACTGGGCGTGGGTGGTCGTGGTTGAGGTCCGGCAGAGAACACGGTGGATCGCGGATCGCAGTTGAGCAAGGACGACGAGGACGACGAGGAACACTGTGGATCGCGGATCGCAGTTGAGCAAGGACGACGAGGACGACGAGGACGACAAGGACGACAAGGATGACAAGGAGGACGAGGAGGAGGAGGAGAGGAGGACGAGGCAGGAGGAGGCGGAGGAGGAGGAGGAGCAGGAGGAGGAGGAGGAGGCAACTGACATAAAATCTAACAACCCCCACCTGGCAGGTGGGGAATGAGTAAAATACTCTAGGCCTCTAGGCTTCAAGTCGTTGCAATGACAGTGTTGCTGTTTCGTGAGGGCTGCCCTAAAAGATCCTCGACTGCATGGTTCGCAAAGTTGGGACCCGAAGGCCCCAAAGGCTTTTGTTCAGGTTTAAATTCCTCGGCTTTTGAAGCCTTTCAAGCCCCTGAGACCTCCAGTGAATATCACCAGGTGCTATCGCTACGACCTGCTACTTGCTGATGAGGCAACACCCTTCCAGGTGCAGATCCATGTGGAGAGCATGCTTTGAGATGGCTTTCCTGGATGAGTCAGAATCACAAGTGATGCTTTGCAACTCATGTATGAGATCATGGCCAACAATATTCAACAATCAACCAGCATATAACACCACATATTCAACAATGTAGTAACATGACATATCATTACATAATCTTGCATGTTCTTGGTTTTGGGTTTCAATCTGTCTCTAATTTTGTCTCCCCTGCCTCGTGCCAGGCTCGCTACGTTTGGCCCGTGGGTCCCGTCGATCTGCCGCTGCTGCGCACTGTGGCGGAGCAGTGGAACGGGCGACGCGTGGACTGTCGACCCTTCACGGTGAACTGGCGATCCTCCTGCAGAGATGGGACGGCCGCCTGGCTGAAACTGTGAAATCCACAGGATGATACTGTTGAGGAATTTAGAGAAATTTCAGGGAATGTGAAAGGAATTTTCAGGAATGTGAAAGGAATTTGAAGCAATTTTAAGGAATTTGAAGCAATTTTAAGGAATTTGAAGCAATTTGAAGGAATTTTGAGGAATTTTAAGGAATTTTCCGGAATTTGAAGCAATTTTAAGGAATTTTGAGGAATTTTCAGGAATTTGAAGCAATTTTCAGGAATTTTGAGGAATTTTTAAGGAATTTCAAGATGATGATGATGATGATGATGCTGCTGCTGCTGCTGCTGATGCTGCTGCTGCTGACGATGATGGTGATGATGATGATTGTGTTGTTCATTGTTGATGATGATGCTGCTGATGATGATGATGATGATGATGATGATGCTACTGCTGCTGATGATGATGGTGATGCTGATGCTGCTGCTGCTGATGATGATGATAATGATAATAATGCTGGTGCTGCTGATGATGATGATGCTGCTGATGATGATGATGCTGCTGATGATGATGCTGCTACTGCTGATGATGATGGTAATGATGATGCTGCTGCTGCTGCTGCTGAAGATGATGATGCTGATGACGATACTGCTGCTGCTGATGATGAAGATGCTGATGACGATGATGACTATGATGATGATGATGATGATGATGATGTTGCTGCTGCTGCTGATGATGATGATGATGATGATGGTGACGATGCTGCTGCCGCTGCTGCTGATGATGATGATGATGAGGATGAGGATGATGATGATGCTGATGCTGATGCTGATGATGATGATGCTGCTGCTAATGATGATGGTGACGATGATGGTGATGATGATGATTGTGTTGTTCATTGTTGATGATGATGCTGATGATGATGATGGTGATGATGAGGATGAAGATGATGATGATGATGATGATGATGGGATGGTGATGATGATGATGACGATGATGCTGCTGCTGCTGATGATGATGCTGCTGATGATGCTGCTGCGGCTGATGAGGCTGATGATGACGATGTTGCTGTTGATGATGTTGCTGCAGCTGATGATGATGATGATGATGCTGATGATGTTGCTGATATTTCTGCTGCTGCTGATGATGATACTGATGCTGATGGTGATGATGATGATGATGATGATGGTGAATATGATGATGCCGCTGCTGCTGCTGATGATGATGATGCTGATGATGATGATGCTGCTGATGATGATGATGCTGCTGATGATGATGATGCTGCTAATGATGATGGTGATGATGATGGTGATGATGATGATTGTGTTGTTCATTGTTGATGATGATGCTGATGATGATGATGGTGATGATGAGGATGAAGATGATGATGATGATGATGATGATGATGGGATGGTGATGATGATGATGCTGATGACGATACTGCTGCTGCTGATGATGAAGATGCTGATGACGATGATGACTATGATGATGATGATGATGATGATGTTGCTGCTGCTGCTGATGATGATGATGATGATGGTGACGATGCTGCTGCCGCTGCTGCTGATGATGATGATGATGATGAGGATGAGGATGATGATGATGCTGATGCTGATGCTGATGATGATGATGCTGCTGCTAATGATGATGGTGACGATGATGGTGATGATGATGATTGTGTTGTTCATTGTTGATGATGATGCTGATGATGATGATGATGGTGATGATGAGGATGAAGATGATGATGATGATGATGATGATGGGATGGTGATGATGATGATGACGATGATGATGCTGCTGCTGATGATGATGCTGCTGATGATGCTGCTGCGGCTGATGAGGCTGATGATGACGATGTTGCTGTTGATGATGTTGCTGCAGCTGATGATGATGATGATGATGGTGATGATGATGATGATGATGATATGGTTGGACGGGGGTATCCAGAAATGGTCGAAACTAGTGGCTTCCTGTGTACAGTAGATGTGGATACCCTGAGTGGACACATAGCCGAATGATCCCTTGGAGCTGAAGACCCTTTGGAACGAGTCTTGACAGATTAGGACGTCTTTGATGAAGATTACTATGGTCCCCTTCAAAAACAGCCTGTGACTCAGCTTGGTTTCTGACTTGGCCACCTAGTCCTGTTGCGTGTCCATGCTTGACAACATGGCTTGACACTGCGTTTCTGCATCGCAACTTGACGCCCACATACATTTTTTTCTTCAAACCATTGTCTCAATTCTACAAGTCTAGAACTCTGGCATCTTTCTCACAAGGCTTCATGCACAGATGGGTACATGCATCGTGTTACGATTTTCAACCCACCCCGGTAATCATAAGTGAATCATAAGTGAAGCAGAAGTGAATCAAAAGTGAAGCAAGAGCATTCTATTATCACAACATCTTTCAAGCCGACCATTTTCACCGCGCAAAAAATGCCCGAGGCTTTCCGTGCGGCTTGATGGAGGCTTTCCGGCGCTGCGGATCTATGTGGAGGCAGATGCCTTCCTTTACAGGCCGAAAAAATGGGGGATACGAGGGCTAGATCCGATGTATCTTGTATGTATATATATATATATGTATTGTATTGTATTGTATTGTATTGTATTACATTTAAATTTATATATTATACTATTTTAAATTATATTACTGTATATCATGTTTTATTGTACATTACATTGTATTATGTTATATTATATTATTGTATATTATATAATATTAAACTAAAATAGATCGTGTTCTATTTTATTATAGTATAGTATATTATGCTATGTTGTATAATATAAAATTATATTATATTATACTATATTGTACTATTTTGCATTTTATATTATCATATTCTATTATATTACATTATTTTATATTATATTTATGTTTACATTTAAATAGATATTCATTTTTATATTTTGAACTGTATTATATTATTTTACATTATACTATATTATACTATATTATATTATATTATTTTATATTATATTATATTATATTTTACTATCTTATTATATTATTATATCTTATTATATCTTATTATATTGTATATTAAATTAAATTAAATTATATTATGTTATATTGTATTTTATTATATTATCTTATATGGAGTAATAATGTTTAATGTACATGTATACTTGTACAGTGTATATTATTATATATTACTATATAATACTATATAATACTGTAAAATACTATATAATGCTGTATATTACTATACAATACTATATACAGATCTACAATGGATTACAGATTGTGTACGATGGCGAGCTGGTGACCCACACTCCGTGGTCCAAAGGATGGTGCGTGTGCTGGTCACTGCGCTGGTGGCTGCTGGACAACATGTCGTGAGACCCCAGGAGTTGGAGGTGGGAATCAGCTGAACATGGCCAGAACATCCTTCCTCGGAGCGGAGGTTGATGCAAAAATCATGGAACTCAATGATACTTAAATCATCTTAAATCTGAGGGATTTTCCAGCCATGTTTGAGGACACCGGAAAGTCATTGGTTGAAGTACCGCAGAGGAAACCTCCATATTTGTGGTAAAAGGATGTAAAAACCATGCTTTCCTGCTCTTTAAATTTCCAGCAGGAGTGCTTGTTGCGCTTCAATCTTTGGGTCTGGGACTGGTGCGTCACATGCAATCCATTCAAAAACCGGAATAGAACCCTTGGGTCGCAAAGCTGTGTGAATCAGTTAATCAATCCATTGTATCGTCCCCTCTTGATCTTTTGGACAAACATCAAATTGACGGAGGCCACTTTGAGGTTACAACTATACAAATTTGACTTGTGATTGGCATCAACAAGGGTTTTGTTAATCCTGGCGAATGCTATGGACCAGAGTCGTAGGGTGCAACAGAAATAGCACTGTTCTAGCAGCAGGAATTGTGGAAGGCATCAGCAAAGTAGATGTTAACCAGCAACATGCAGTTTTTTCGCTTCACCTCCCCGTCTATGTTGGTGAAATCCTCCATTTTGATCCATTTCAAACCCCGAGGTTTCCCTCGTAAAAGCGCCGTATCGTTGCTGGTTGGATGGTGAAATCGGCAGGTGGCTGAGCCAACGAGCTTGGCCATGGCTTTGAAGCGTGTGAAGGGCCAGTGGGAGGCCCCAGGAAATTTGCGATTTCAGCAAAACATGAGAATTTCATGCGGAAAAGATAGGAATTTTACAGTGAACATATGAATATCAGCAGCAGGAATGGGGTTCGCATCAAGGAGACTTCGCCAAGAGAAATGGGGATTTACGATGATTTACGCACGAAAATGCAGTGGATGTGAGCAACAGAGGGATTGAGCAGCAACGGATACGATGGAGGCGAAGAGGAGGACGGAACAGGAGGACTAGCTCTCTGGATTCTAAGGAATGTCACAGTTTGGAATTTTCATGTATTTCCTCAATGTGTCAACGGTACTGAGGTGTTCAATTTCTTCCAGGGCCTTTATCGGCAAACCGTTAAGATATACCATGGCTGTGTTGGAATCGTTGCATCAGGTGCAGAATCGCTCCACCCAATGGCCTCTTCCTGCAGAGAATTACATATGCGGAGGAGGAAAAACATCGACGCCGATAGATCTAGAGCATCAGGGATATGGGCATGTCTAAGGATGAAGGATCTACAGACAGCGTATCTTTTCTGTATGGAACATCCGGAGCTTCAAGCATCTGGTGTCCTGATTTTTTTCAGTACTTACTCAGGCACGCTATTGCAGTGCCTGCTATCGTTTTCACTCTTAGGAACATGTCAGATGCAAAGCATCACCCAGCATCTATCACTCAGCATAAGTTGTTCAGCAATCGGATGATGGTTTAAAGTGTTCCAGTATATCCGGATTGAAGCCCTTGCATGTCACTAGAAGCATCTCTGTTGCAATTATGGTCGGTCTTGTACAGCAATACTTCTTTCCACATATTCTTACAAATCACCTGCGCAAATCCTGTCTTTGTTTCTGGGTTCCGCAGCATCCTGTTTTGGCGCCGTTGAGTCTCAGCGAGAGACGTCTGGCGATCGGGTGCCTCGTTCTGCAAGTGCGGATGCAAGCGGTGTCTCCCCCGGGCGATCATCCAAGATCCCTCTGAAACAGAATCTAAGACTGAAAGATAACCAGCTGATTGGATCTGATTGGCGGTTCCAAAAATGTTCGATTTCCATCGATTTCCATCCTGAAATCATTTCCATCCCTGTATCGTGATCTCCGACAGGCCATGTGGACCTGGGCTTGGTGGAGACTTCTGGTTGCATGGTGCCATGGCGTGAAGCGGCGTGAAGTGCCAGGGCGGTGCCACGGATGGGTCCTGCCAACATCCGGATGTTGGTTCCATCTTTCCTGGCTCCAAGATGGGATATTTATGATATTTGATGGACATATATGACACATATGATCAGATGAAATGATCCGACATGAAGAGCATTTTGAATGACATGCAAGTCTTTGTTTTTTGGCTGGGGTTGAGTTGGCTGCGCTGGACTAGTAAGGTTGGGCACGGCTTCTGGTTCTTGCCCCGAAGGTGGGAAAAGGTTCATGGTGAGGATTCGATCCTGGACATTCCACAGGAGAATGGTCGTTTGTTCTGCGAAAGATGGTGGATCCGGGCGGTTTTGTGGTTCCTTTCCTCGCGGTCCAGGCACTTGTGAGGATGAGGTGGGAAGCGATGCGGTATGGGGGTGTTTCCAAATATTGGGGACACCCGGCTGGAACCTCTGGGTTCTTCCACTGGAAAAAACTACAATGATAGATGTTTATATCTATAATAGAATCACCAACCGGGGGACTTGTCATGAATGACGATGTCGTTCACTGCTGGGTGAAGGCCTTCATCTTGTGACCACAAAGAGAGAGAGAGAGAGGGATACAATAATGGCCAATTTGTACCCTCGTGTTTTTTGTTTGGAGTAACACTCGTAGAATCAAACAGGGGAGGCATGGTACAGAAAAGGGAGGCAACCCCTCTTTCTCTACTTCAGCTTCCCTGAAGTCTCAATGTGCGACGGCATGGCTGGTGTCAGGCGGCGCTCTTTCAGGTGAAAGCTGGAAGGAGATGAGGGGATTTGGGACGAAAGGATGGGTGGAGCGTTCCATCTATAACTGGCTTTGAAGGATGTATATAAAGATACACTATTTGCAGAATGAGATACCAATTATTGTATGGTATTAGATGATGATAATAATCATGATGATGACGATGATGGTGATGGTAATGGTTATGATGATAATGATGATGATGATGACGATGATGATTTGCCACATATTGATATTGATACAATATGTATATATATATAAACACATATATATATATATATATACACATTTCAAAATTTATCAATATCATACACTCTAACCAATAGCACGTGACTTATGTTATGATATAAAGTGATAATAAATCCCAATAACACAACAATAAGCTAATATTTTGTAACATATATAACCAAATAATGACACAACATAATGAATTTGAATCAATTTCACTACATTGCAGTAGTAGTAGTAGTCGTCGTCGTCGTCGTGGTCGTCGTGGTCGTCGTGGTCGTCGTGGTGGTAGTGGTAGTGGTAGTGGTAGTGGTAGTGGTAGTGGTAGTGGTAGTGGTAGTGGTAGTGGTAGTAGTAGTAGTAGTAGTAGTGGTAGTGGTAGTGGTAGTGGTAGTGGTAGTGGTAGTGGTAGTGGTAGTGGTAGTGGTAGTGGTAGTGGTAGTGGTGGTAGTAGTAGTAGTAGTGGTGGTAGTAGTGGTAGTAGTGGTAGTAGTGGTAGTAGTAGTAGTCGTCGTAGTAGTAGTAGTAGTAGTCGTCGTAGTAGTAGTAGTAGTAGTAATAGTTGTAGTAGTAGTAGTCGTCGTAGTAAAAGTAACAGTATTAGTCGTATAGTAGTTAGAGTAGTAGTATAGTAATAGGTGTAGTAGTCGTTGCAGTAGTCGTCGTAGTCGTCGTAGTAGTAGTATCGTAGTATTCGTCGTGTAGTAGTATAGTAGTAATAGTTGTAGTAGTCGTCGTAGTAGTCGTCGTAGTAGTCGTCGTAGTAGTCGTCGTAGTAGTAGTAGTAGCAGTAGTAGTAGTAGAAGTAGTGGTAGTAGTAGTAGTAGTAGTAGCAGTAGCAGTAGCAGTAGCAGTAGCAGTCGCAGCATTAGTAGTAGTAGTAGTAGTCGTCGTCGTCGTCGTCGGCGTCGGCGTCGTCGTCGTCGTCGTCGTCGTAGTCGTAGTCGTAGTCGTAGTCGGAGTCGGAGTCGGAGTCGGAGTCGGAGTCGGAGTCGGAGTCGTAGTCGTAGTCGTAGTCGTAGTCGTAATCGTAGTCGTAGTCGTAGGCGTAGTCGTAGTAGTAGTAGTAGTAGCAGTAGTAGTAGTAGTTGTTGTTGTTGTAGTTGTAGTAGTAGTAGTAGTAGTAGTAGTTGTAGTAGTAGTAGTAGTTGTTGTTGTTGTTGTTGTCGTCGTCGTTGTTGTGCAACAACCCCTTTTGAGCCAAGCAGCCAAATCTGCCCCAGATCTACGCGGCCGTGCCCATAGCAGATAAAGATGGGGTTAGAAACTTGTTTAAGTATGCAGGATTGTATGACAGCTTCGTGGGTTTGTTGGGGGATACCCCATGGCTTATCATCCCTTTCCCATAAAAAAGACACTCTTGAGGGTGTCTCTCTCTCTCTCTCTTTATATATATATATATCAATACATATATATATATATCAATACATATATATATATAGTTAGTAATCATAATAGATTTAAGTACATAAATAACTGTTCCATTTTCAGATGTACCCACAAATCCGCAGGAGCGTCAGCAGCGTGCCGTATGGAACCAATTTTGGAGGCGGGAATGTGTGGCAGTGAGACAGATGATTCAAGAGTTGCTGGGGGGTGATCTCGATGATTTGGTTTAGTGGCACTTGGGAAAGGACATGGGTTAATTATGCGCTTGGAAGTGAAGGTTGGAGCAGAAAACCCTTATGAATCTGAAATCGATACGTTCCACACAGGCAGAACTCACTCTTCCGCTAGCAATCGATCGCTTCCAAATTAGGACCACAGTGATTCGGTAAATGGACCAATTCATCCAACTTGCCGTATGAGCCTCGCCGCAGCGGCCCTGCCAGGTTGGTTGTGCCTGGAGGATTGGTTCTTCTCTGGCAACACTGGCCGCTTTGTGCCTGGCTCCCAGCGCTCTCCAGGATCTCCAGGCCTCAAAGAACCAGCAGATCAAATATTTGTCTGAAAGTCGGAGACCTTCCCCGAAATTCCATCCAATTCCAATGGTTTATAGTAGTTTATCAATGTTTATCATCATTGTCCCATATTTTCTCAATGAAAAATTACCTTTTTGCTGGGGGTATCTCAGTAGCCAAGGTCCACCAGCGATCCGGTGGGACAAGGCGTGTGCCTGCCGCCTTTGCTGCAAGGCCAGGGTCAACCATGTCAACCACTGGCACCCCAAAATAGCTACAGAAAAGGCATCTACATCCCAAAGTCCCAGGTGTTTCTAGGCTTCCCCAAAACTTCCCAACTGCCTGGTTGGTTCAGCAGTCGGGTTTCCAATGAATTTCCCTCAGAGTTGGGAAGAAACCGCCAGGTGGAGACACGACATGGCCATCCGAGGGTATCTTGGTCCACAGGCATCGACATGGTGGATGTGACATGATGCGACCTGGGGGAACTCACTATTCACTTTTTGCTTGTAAATTATAGTTAAATTATAAGCATATTGAGACACCAATTTATTTTCAGTAATTAATGTTCAGCAAAATAACTGTTAACTCATAAGTTCATATTCAGCCAGACCTATGATTGTTCAATGATCCATTGTCGATGGTTGTGGCGATGATGATAATCTTGATGGTGTTGATTCATGAGATGAATGACACTGCAGGAAGAGACACGAGAAGTACTGCACTATACTTTCAAAGTGGAGTGTCATGCGAGCAGCAACAGCAACAACGTCGACGACGACGGCGACGGCGATGGCGAGGACGACTACAACGACAACAGCAACAACAACAGCAGCAGCAACAACAAAAACAAGGACAAGGACACCGACACCAACACAGACAGCAACAGCAACACCATCACCATCATCGACACTATCTTAGACAAAATAGTAATCATAATAACAATCATAATGATAACACTAATGATGCTACTGCTACTGCTACTGCTGCTACTGCTGCTACTGCTGCTACTGCTGCTACGGCTGCTACGGCTGCTACTGCTGCTACTGCTGCTACTGCTGCTACTGCTGCTACTGCTGCTACTGCTGCTACTGCTGCTACTGCTACTACTACTACTACTACTACTACTACCTCTTCTACTTCTACTACTACTACTACTACTACTACTTACCCTACTACTTACCCTACTACTTACCCTACTACTTACCCTACTACTACTACTACTTCTACTACTACTACTACTACTACTACTACTACTACTACTACTTACCCTACTACTTACCCTACTACTTACCCTACTACTTACCCTACTACTTACCCTACTACTACTACTACTACTACCTCTTCTACTTCTACTACTACTACTACTAGTACTAGTACTACTACTACTACTACTACTACTACTACTACTACTACTTACCCTACTACTTACCCTACTACTTACCCTACTACTTACCCTACTACTTACCCTACTACTTACCCTACTACTTACCCTACTACTTACCCTACTACTTACCCTACTACTTACCCTACTACTAACCCTACTACTACTACTACGACTACTACTACTACTACTACTACTACTACTAACAACAACAACAACAACAACAACGATCATACAGTAAAAATCATTTTCATTGTGAGGGCAGGAATGAGTTTGAACATGCATCAGCATCATGCCTAGGGAAACTTCAAGCTGGACGATCGCTCATGTGACCCCGTTCACATGTGGGCTTGCTTTGCAGGTTGGTGGCCAAATATGGCAAGAAATATGCTTCACAGGCGTCCGGGCAAGGTGTAATGAGTCCTAAAGGCCAAAGGGCCGTGGCACAAAATTCAGATACATCGAAGCCATTGTATTTTGTTTGTATGACTGTAGCAATATCATATACTTATGTACTATCATTATTCCACTCGTGTCTTGTTTACTTCGATTCAATGATTTCTCACCAAGAAATTGTGAGCAAATATAACCAATTGGAATTCATATTGGATAAGCATGGATAAACATGGAGAAACACCAAGCAACAATGGGTTTTGACGTCAACATTGGAGAGTTTGATCGGTCACGACCAGCGGTCGCCCATGTGGCCCCAGGTCTTCGAAGCTCATCGTAATAGCTTCGTTCATGTGGGCGACTTGAAGGCGGGCTTGCCCCGATAGGGATGTTGAACATTGAAACTGCTGAGTGTTTTTTGATGTTGATTTTTGTTCAATTTCTGTGGTAACTAGAGCAATGATAATTACGGGAATCCTTGATATCCCCATGTTTGTTGCTTGAATCCCTACCAGTAGTGCCGCACAAGGCCGTGGCGGAAGTTTCAAAGATAGGCAACCTATAGGAAAGGTTTGGTCGTCGTGACGCATGGATGGCAGAGCGAACCCACTCATGGGTCGAAAGGAGGTTGGCAAGTTGGAGTTGTGCTTTTTGGAGTCGTTGCAAGGGTCACCGCACCCACAACTGCTGGATGTAGTGTTGTGTAGCGTGGTGTAGTTGTAGTTGTGGTATAGCGTAGTGAAGTTGTACTTGCAGCTGTAGTTGTAGTTGTAGTGTAGTGTGGTGGTGGCTGTAGCTGTAGCTGTAGCTGGAGGAGGAGAAGTAGTAGTAGTAGTAGTAGTAGTAGCAGTAGCAGCAGTAGCAGCAGTAGCAGCAGTAGCAGCAGTAGCAGCAGTAGCAGCAGTAGCAGTAGGAGAGGAGTAGGAGTAGGAGGAGTAGGAGGAGTAGGAGGAGGAGGAGTAGGAGTAGGAGTAGGAGGAGGAGGAGGAGTGAGAGTAGGAGTAGGAATAGAAGTAGGAGTAGGAGGGAGGTAGTAGTAGTAGAAGGAGTAGGAGGAGGAGGGGTAGGAGGAATAGGAGGAGTAGGAGGAGTAGGAGGAGTAGGAGGAGTAGGAGGAGTAGGAGGAGCAGTAGCAGCAGCAGCAGGAGGAGGAGGAAGTAGTAGTAGTAGTAGTAGCAGTAGTAGTAGTAGTAGTAGGAGTAGTAGTAGGAGTAGTAGTAGGAGTAGTAGTAGGAGTAGGAGTAGGAGTAGGAGTAGGAGTAGTAGGAGTAGTAGGAGTAGTAGGAGTAGTAGGAGGAGTAGGAGGAGTAGGAGGAGTAGGAGGAGTAGGAGGAGTAGGAGGAGTAGGAGGAGTAGGAGGAGTAGGAGGAGTAGGAGGAGTAGGAGGAGTAGGAGGAGTAGGAGGAGTAGGAGGAGTAGGAGGAGTAGGAGGAGTAGGACGAGTAGGAGGAGTAGGAGGAGTAGGAGGAGTAGGAGGAGTAGGAGGAGTAGGAGGAGTAGGAGGAGTAGGAGGAGTAGGAGGAGTAGGAGGAGTAGGAGGAGTAGTAGTAGTAGTAGCAGGAGTAGTAGTAGTAGTAGTAGTAGTAGTAGTAGTAGTAGTAGGAGTAGGAGTAGGAGTAGGAGTAGGAGTAGGAGTAGGAGTAGGAGTAGTAGTAGTTGTTGTTGTTGTGGTGGTTGTGGTGGTTGTGGTGGTTGTGGTGGTTGTGGTTGTTGTGGTTGTGTAGTGGTAGTGTTAGTAGTAAACCACTGCTGAATTGTTTCGTTCGCCGTAGGCCCTCGCGGACCTCGGTGTCAAAGTGGTGCGCATCCCTGTGGTGTGGACCCTCTTTGCTGATGCCCTTGCACCAGTGGCACCTCGGAGGCACCTCAATGGAGATATAGGTTTGTCTGAAAATGGGGCATACCCATAAAATGACCGTTTCATAGGGAAAATGACAGTTCACAAATGGATTTAGAGGTATATTTTCAGACAAGAACATAAAAAATGATGTATTACACCGGCAAGAGGCCCCAAACAATGTGGGTGCAGGAGGTCAATGTAGCAGATACAAGCAACTAGCTATGGCAACTATGGAACAGTAACAGATGAGTTTAGACATGATCGCAGCTGCAGCAGCAGGACCTTCTATGTAAATCTATCTAGTGGAGCTCACAAGGCCTTCATACGAGAACTCCCTATGAGCATCCCAGAAAAGCTTTCAGAGAAGCACGAATGCAGAGCATCTTCAAGATCTTAATGCAAGGATCTCTTGAGGAGGATTTCAGCAGGATCTCCACAAGATCTTCTCACCATGCAAAGACACTGAGAGGATTTCACCAGGACCGCGTCACGAGCTTCTCACAAGGACCTGTACAAGATCATGCAAACGCCTGTGACAGCACTTCACTAGGATCTCCACAAGATCTTCGCACAAGGAAGTGTACAAGACCTTGATCAAAATCTTCATGCCAGGACCCCTAAAGCCCACAAGATGTCGTAAAAGGACCTGCTGCTGCTGCAGCGGATCTTTACAACATCTTGATGCAAAATCCGGACAAGAGCCTCCCACACGAGCTTTCAAAGAAGCACCACTGCAAGCTGCTTATGCAAGGACCTCTTAGAAAGGATCTCACCAGGATCTGACCTGTACAGGAGCACGCGAGGACCTCTTAGAGAGGAATTTAGCAGGATCTCCGCAAGAGCATGTTTACGCGAGAATTTACAATGAAAAGGCGGCCGCCCGCCAAGAGCTTGAGAACCCCGCAGCGCAGACTTTGTGCGAGCCTGCGCAGTCGAAATCCATTTGGACATCTCCCAAGAGCAATTTGATGCGAGAATTTACAGGCAAAATGTTGCGCCCCAGGGCCGGGACAACCATTTTGTGCGAGCTTGCGCAGTCGAAATCACATGGACATATCAGAAGAGCATGTTGCGCGAGAATTTACAGGAAAAATGCTGCGCCCCAGGGCCGGGACAACCGGTTTGTGCGAGCCTGCGAAGGCGAAATGCATTTGGACATCTGAGAAGAGCCGTTTTTTGCGAGAATTTAGAGGAAAAATGCCGGGCCCCAAGATCGGGGGCAGACTTTGTGCGAGCCTGCGCAATCGAAATGCACATGGACATGTTACAAGAGCCATTTTATGCGAGAATTTACAGGAAGAATGCCGCGCCGCGCCCAAGATGGAGCACCCTGATCAAGCACTGGCCTTAACTCCTGCCGTAAGGCCGTAAGAACCCCTCAGCGTGGACACACTGTTTGGGGAATAATTTTGTAATGCCCATGAAAACGCATGCGATGATTATTTTAGGGGATGATATACTGTAATCAAAGACTTTGCTGTGGAAATGAATAAAGATTGCCCATTTAGTTGGACGATTTTCTCAATCAACATGGTGATATTACATAGCAGTGCAAAATTACCAGAGGGAAACGTGCATGATGTGTATGTAATTATTGGAATCAACCAATTAACATTGAATTAAACTAGTGGATGGTGAAATCATGGTAACATGGCCATATAATGATAATATGATGACAATATGTGGTAAATGCATCCCTTTAGGAAACATCCAACATATTGACCCCGGATCGCGGGATGGTTAAATGAAACACCCGCAAATGCCACGACTGGGGATGGGTCAAAATATTTGAAACGCACGGGCCCGCATAGTTTGGTGTTTTTAGTGTTTGCCATTCATTCCCGAGAGCGTCTGAGCGCAGGGTTCTTCCAATAGTGGGGGTCTGTAAAACATCTTCTCATCTTCACATCTTCTCTCACATCTGCTCATCTTCACATCTTCTCTCACATCTGCTCATCTTCACATCTGCTCATCTTCGCATCTTCTCTCACATCTGCTCATCTTCACATCTTCTCTCACATCTTCTCTCACATCTTCTCTCACATCTTCTCTCACATCTGCTCATCTTCACATCTTCTCTCACATCTGCTCATCTTCACATCTTCTCTCACATCTTCTCTCACATCTGCTCATCTTCAAATCTTCTCTCACATCTGCTCATCTTCACATCTTCTCTCACATCTTCTCTCACATCTTCTCTCACATCTGCTCATCTTCACATCTTCTCTCACATCTTCTCTCCCATCTGCTCATCTTCACATCTGCTCATCTTCACATCTTCTTCACATCTTCTCTCACATCTGCTCATCTTCACATCTGCTCATCTTCACATCTTCTCTCATTGCTCATCTTCACACCTTCTCTCACATCTTCTCTCACATCTGCTCATCTTCACATCTGCTCATCTTCACATCTTCTCTCACATCTGCTCATCTTCACATCTGCTCATCTTCACATCTCTCACATCTGCTCATCTTCACATCTGCTCATCTTCACATCTGCTCATCTTCACATCTTCTCTCACATCTCTCTCCTTTTTCTCTCTCTCGCCTTCTTTTTATCTTTCTCTCTTAAGGCCGAGGGTGGTGCCGGCGGCGAGTCACGAAACGTCAACCCTTTCGCACGAAATGAGGGTCGATCGGCAAAAACTGAGGAAAAATTGCGGACTTGTCCCGCAACCCTTTCGCACGAAATGAGGGTCGATCGGCAAAAACTGCGGTAAAATTGCGATTTTACTTGTCCTAAAGCAACCCTTTCGCACGAAATGAGGGTCGATCGTCAAAAACTGAGGTAAAATTGCGATTTTACTTGTGCCGGAGCAACCCTTTCGCACGAAATGAGGGTCGATCGGCAAAAACTGAAGTAAAATTGCGATTTTACTTGTGCTAAAGCAACCCTTTCGCACGAAATGAGGGTCGATCGGCAAAAACTGAGGTAAAATTGCGACTTTACTTGTCCCGGAGCAACCCTTTCGCACGAAATGAGGGTCGATCGGCAAAAACTGGGGTAAAATTGCGATTTTACTTGTGCCGGAGCAACCCTTTCGCACGAAATGAAGGTCGATCGGCAAAAACTGAGCTAAAATTGCGATTTTACTTGTCCTAAAGCAACCCTTTCGCACGAAATGAGGGTCGATCGGCAAAAACTGAGCTAAAATTGCGATTTTACTTGTGCCGGACTTGTCTGTGTGTAAAAGCGTCTGTGTGTAAGAGTCTCTGTGTGTAAAAGTGTCTGTGTGTAAAAGTGTTTGTGTGTAAAAGTGTTAGTGTGTAAAAGCTTCTGTGTGTAAAAGCTTCTATGTGTAAAAGCGTCTGTGTGTCAAAGCGTCTGTGTGTAAAAGCGTCTGTGTGTAAAAGCGTCTGTGTGTAAAAGTGTTTGTGTGTAAAAGTGTTTGTGTGTAAAAGCCTCTGTGTGTAAAAGCGTCTGTGTGTAAAAGCGTCTGTGTGTAAAAGCGTCTGTGTGTCAAGAAAAGCGTCTGTGTGTAAAAGCGTCTGTGTGTCAAAGCGTCTGTGTGTAAAAGCGTCTGTGTGTAAAAGGGTCTGTGTGTAAAAGCGTCTGTGTGTAAAAGCGTCTGTGTGTAAAAGCGTCTGTTTGTAAAAGCCTCTGCGGGTAAAAGCCTCTGTGTGTAAAAGTCTCTGTGTGTAAAAGAGCCTGTGTCTAAAAAGCGTCTGTGTGTAAAAGCGTCTGTGTGTAAAAGCGTCTGTGTGTAAAAGCGTCTGTGTGTAAAAGCGTTTGTGTGTCAAAGCTTCTGTGTGTAAAAGCGTCTGCGTGTAAAAGCGTCTGCGTGTAAAAGCTTCTGCGTGTAAAAGCGTCTATGTGTAAAAGTGTTTGTGTGTAAAAGTGTTTGTATGTAAAAGTGTTTGTGTGTCAAAGCGTCTATGTGTAAAAGCTTCTGTGTGACTGTGTGTAAAAGCGTCTGTGTGTAAAAGTCTCTGTGTGTAAAAGCGTCTGTGTGTAAAAGCGTCTGTGTGTAAAAGAGCCTATGTGTAAAAAGCGTCTGTGCGTAAAAGCGTCTGTGTGTAAAAGCGTTTGTGTGTCAGAGCTTCTGTGTGTAAAAGCGTCTGCGTGTAAAATCTTCTGCGTGTAAAAGCATCTATGTGTAAAAGTGTTTGTGTGTATAAGTGTATGTATGTAAAAGTGTTTGTGTGCAAAATTGTCTGTGTGTAAAATCGTCTGTCTGTAAAAGCGTCTGTGTGTAAAAGTCTTTGTGTGTAAAAGCGTCTGTGTGTAAAAGTGTCTGTGTGTAAAAGCATCTGTGTAAAAGCGTATGTGTGTAAAAGCTTCTGTCTGTAAAAGCGTCTGTATGTGTAAAAGCTTTGTGTGTAAAAGCGCCTGTGTGTAAAAACTTCTGTGTGTAAAAACTTTTGTGTGTACAAGCGTCTGTGCGTAAAAGGGTCTGTGTGTGAAAGTGTCTGTCTGTAAAAGCTTCTGTGTGTGAAAGCTTTTGTGTGTACAAGCGTCTGTGCGTAAAAGAGTCTGTGCGTGTTTGCGATGCAAACTATTGTGTTGCACTTCTGCTATTTTGTCTTAATACTCCTCTTCTCGACTACCTATAACACATCTTTAATATATTGTTTCTAATATGGTGTCTCCATACTAACAAGAGAAGACCTGCTCCTCTACGCTCTCGGGCCATCCGTCGTCTAGTTTTTTTTTAACTTATGGAGTTTTGACCCATACCCAGTTCGACAGGATGGGACCGAGATGGCATGTGAGGCTGGTATTTTGATACACTCTGAATCATCCACTTCATCGCTTTAACCCTTTGAACCATAGTATCACCATGCTATCATCGAATTACCATCATATTGTCATATTGCCGTGATATTGCCATCTTGTCCATTTGAAGCGCCAACCTGTCCCTGGCATTCCCCGGCCCAACATCGGCGGCTAAAGCGTCACTGAGGCGAAAATCTACGGAGAGCACAATCCGCAGAGCGATCATGCAGTGGTGCGGCCCCCGGGAACCATATTGAGGAACCTGAAGCAGGTGAACCTCCCATATGGTTCTGGGTCAAAACCCTGGTACCCTAGGCATCCTAAAATAGCTTGTTAATGAATGGTTATTCCCCCAAATATGGTAATAATAGGTTTTGAAGATCAAATAGCCATGAACAGGAGAGGACACGTCACGGCCGCTCTACACTTTTAACTGCACCTAGGGCGGTCAGGAGGTTTTTTGTGAGACACCGCCTGCTTGCATGCTTCTCCCGTCCAGAAAAATCTGGACCCAGGTGCTTTGAGCAACAACACAAATCAAACAAGGCAATGGAAGCCACGAAATCACACGTGCAGGCTCGGAAGCACAAATGCGATGATCAATTGATAATTGAATGTTGATTTCATAAATTTCGAATTGAAGGAAGCTGAAACCAGCCAAATTACGAGTTCGAAATGCTGGTCTGAAGATGCACAAATCTGCCAACGGCCGAAGCCAAACCAGAATACGTGAATGCCAAGGCTGTGCAGGCCACAGGTTTTAAAGGAATGCCAAAAGTTTTGTCAAGCACAAAACCAAATAGGTTTTGACAATTTTTGATGGTTAAACGTTGAATCTCCATAAATTGGGTGGTGATACCCTTGAATTTTTTGATGATCATATTCCCATTTCGAATTCTGATTGAATCACATTAACTGATTTTGAGTATGAATTTAGATCCCTATTGACCCAAACTGAAGGCTTAACGGTTTTTAGGTTCACAAATCATCTAATCAGTTGACTCAAACTCTCCATGTCAGGTCCCGGATCCCTACTACCCAGAGAATGCCTCGCTGGTCACCATCCCCCGGAAGTTGCTGGAGGATCTCTATGCGGAGGCCCGGGCTGTCTGTCAGTTCATCTTTATATGATTTGAATTGATTTGAATTGATTTGATATGATTTGATATGTGTATATATATAATATTATATATATATATATTCATCCTGAAGTAGATCGATTTTTTAAACGATATTATTTTTGAGATATTCAAACACATCTCCATTTGAGTGAGGTTTTTTGGACAGTTCCATATTCTATTTGGACACCTACGCGGCGTACATATGTATTGGACATGTATAATTGGAAGTACGTACAGTAATTAGTTGCTCTTGCCCCCCCAGGAACCATGTCAGCTCAAGAAGATCAGTTGGCATTTCACCATGTGAAACAAGCTTGGAAGAAGAAACATGGGGAAGCTTCGAGTGGCTCGAAATGAGTTTTTGCCTCTCATGCCAAGAATATATGGTAATCTTTGCTGTGTTGCAGGTTCAATTCGGTGGGGTACCCAGATGTCCCCCATGTCCCTCCATGTCCCTTTCAGCTTCCATGGGCAGGGGCACAAACACGGCCTGAAGTTCTTGCTGGCTGCTTGGCGTTCTGGAACCTAAAGATCCACCACTCAACCGGGGCGGGCCCGTCAGATCCCCCCGAACATGCTTTGGTGAATCCATGAGCTTGTAACATCTTTCAACATCATTCGACATTCCAATAACGTTCATCCACTAACATCAACGGACATCATTTGACATCATCGGACATCATTTGACATCATTTGACATCATTTGACATCATTTCATATCATTTATCCATTTATCTAGCTCATCTTTGCTTGGTTTGAGGGTTACCGAGCCTTTCCCTGGCCCGCCCGGTATACCGTCGTGGTTACCGTGGTTGGTCCTGGTCCTGCTTAGGACATCCATGCCTTTCCGGGTGGCTCTTCTGATGGACTCTTGGACCTGGAAGTAGCTCTTCCATTGACAAACATGGTGATTTTTAATGGGAAAGGAACAAGAACGGGGGAACCAACCATTTCAAAGTGAGATAGGATATATAACTTCTATATAACCAGCAACTCATATGGGTTTCGGGAAAGCTCCAAGTCACTCCAAGTCCACTGGTCAATCATCGTTTTCCCTATGAAAGTGGCCATAATGGCTAGGGGTAGCCCATCAGAATGAGTCAAGTTGGATCAGTTGGATCCCTGTGAAATTGAGACCACCCTGACCATCATTCAGCCGAAACGATGGGTACGGGATCACCACCTCTCAATTATTTACATATTGACGATGGTAATAACTGGTAATATGAAAAATTGCACGCCAAAAAAAATCCGAGGGTAGATTGGATCACATGAAATTTTTCATCATACTGGATGGCATGCTGAATGAACCGTCTTCACAAGTCAAAATGTAGATTCCGAGTCTGCCGTTGGTGATGTGGGGCTGCCACACGACCCACGGTGCATTTAGATGGCTAGGCTAAACTTTACTGTGAACCCCCAATCTCTTGGTTGTATCGTGTTGTATCCACAGCAAAGGCGTGAAATGATTGGTTTGTAGTTCGGAGCCGGCAGATGTTTGAATCGTAGGCACCTACAACGGAATTTGGCCTCTGAAGCCCCGCTTTTGGTTGGAGCGAGTGAAGGCACGACGGATTTGCCACCTCCGCAAAAGGGCCTGGGCCTAGATATTTATGAGGGCAAATGATATCTGGCTATAGTCCATGGCTTTATGAAGACCATATATTAATATGTATATAATATATTAATATATTGATATATATATATATTTCTTGAGATGATGTTGCAGAAAGACATTGATGTGCATCCCAGTGCAGATTTGAAAATCATGTCCCACTGGTCCCACTGCAGGTCGGGAAAGGTACAACAACTCTGCAGGAAGCTGGCTTGATGATCGTGGCAAAGGCCATTGAGTGGACACTTGGCTGCCTTGGCTGCCTGCGTTCAGAGATGAGTCGGCGTTGGTGGACTAATGTGGACTATGAAGCTGCAAAATCGAGAGGACTAAGGAAGTCAATCCAGCTCTAAATTGTAAATGCATATTTGTCTCATATTAGTCTCATATTAGTGTATGTGTATAAATGATTATAAATGCTCCAAATCATTTCAAATGATATGATTTTACATTGGATATATACACATCTCAATGAGATGGGATGAACAGACCCACCTAGGAATTTGCCAATCATGATGACCAGGTTAGAATCCTTGACGGGGGATGCTGCTGCAGCCGTGGAGGGCATTAGCCCCATGAACGAGCCAGGCACGCCCCCATTGGAAGGGACACAACGACAGGAAAATATGGATGCTTATGCCCCCAACATGTAGAGGTTCCTGAGGTTCCTGTAGAATTTCCCCCGAACCGAATTTGGATTTGCAGTTGGGATGGTAAAGCCAAGCTTTCCTGGAATTTTCAAGAATCACCAGGCGAAGGAAGTTTGAATCCTGGCACACAAGTTTCGAGACATATGTTTGTTCGAGTCCTTCAATTCATGGCTTTACACACTCTTTAGAGGTTTCTCAAAATGGTAGATTATGAAGCCTATTTTTTTTTTTGCCCAGATTTGCCCTTTGACTTCCTCATCTCCAACTTTGGATAGGTAGTTTTAGGCTATCGGCTAACTCGCCGCGCCAGAAGGGTTGCCATTTCTGTGCAAATTGGATGTTGTGCAACACATGCTTCGGTCATGTTACGGCTGGGTGGGTTGGGTTGGGGCTACCGTTCCTGCGCTCTGCGTGATGGTTGTGACGCTACGCTAACATGCGGTGGGGTGGGGTGTGGCTAAAAACGTTCTTGTGCTCTGCGTGATGGTTATGATACTACGCTAACATGTTCCATGCTACGGTAACTGATCTGTTGCTATGTTTGCACATGTCTTAGATGCTACGCTAACATATGGACTATGCTACGGGAACGTGAGTTCGATCTCACAAGAACTTCCCGCCTGCTTGTGGCAGAGGTGAGAAAAGCGGCTTTTAACCCACGCTGGCTATGATGTGTCACATCAACACACATTCCCTTTTTTTTTCGGATGTAATCAAAACATATCAAAAACATGTATTTTTCGCATCAGCAAAATATTATTTTGTTCATTTTGATGATGAAACACGAAACAAATCCTTGCGTTTTTAAGTGACTTTCAGGGTGGACAATTTGCCCTTTGTGTTCAAGCTCCAGGGCGACGAGACAGCCGATTCCCTCGTTTTTTCTCCTGTATTTTTTTTTTTCAACTTTGATCGGGAAAGCTGCTGTGGCGATGTGCCAACGAAGCTGTCTGTTTTTTCAGGTCACCTCGCTGGTTTCCAGATGCTTGGTGGGATGAAAATGGAGGTAGCCATAAAGGCAGTTGAGGAATTACCCTCTGGTAAACATACAAAAAGCTATGGAAAATCACCATCTTGAATAGGTAAATCAACTATAAATGAGTCATTTTCAGTTGCTGTGTTAAATTACCAGAGGGTAATGATCAATCACTGTGTGTGTGTTTTTTTTTGATGGATTTCATGAACTTGAGGATCCATCGAACATATGATTTTTGATGGACTGTGATATGATGGATTAATCATTGAATTTCATGGTATCTTATTTTCAGACACCCATGTGGTAAAGATGGGAGTTAACCAGCAATACTAGTGACATAGCCTCACAAAATTCGCTTTGATACAACAATATTGGGGATTTCCTATTGTCATGTTTGATTACCGGAGGACATATATAGTGATAGATATTAGCAACATTGGGATCCGCTGTTTTTTTTTCCCTCCGTACATACAGTTGCCACATCCCAACGATGGTTGCTCATATCATATATTGCAGTTTGGACGCCCGGCAAGGTGGTGATCCATAGCTAAGTTGGCTTGTAGGTTAACTCACATAAATGATAAACATAATTAATCCCCATAGTTGAGGGGATTTTATAAACTTTATAGAGCCACTTATGGGGCATCACCTTGGCTGGTACTTCTAAATGGTGCGAATTCACGACCCACAGTGGTACCAGCGACCGGGGGCTTTTACAAACTGAGGAAGCCATCCTTCGCCCCCATTGACGTGGTCTTGGCCTGGCTATCCCAAACCATCCACATGTTCAGAAAGTCTCAGTGCCTCGGTGGCAAGGTGTCGCAAGTGACACTTATTTTAAGCCGCCTGCTTTGGATTGTTGTTTCCAGGAAATAATATTCGGATTTTCCCCAACAGCAAAACTTTGCTATGGGGTCTTTAGCCCAGATGAGCTCCGGTGCTGCGATCCGGTGCAGCTTCAACACCAGGTTCCGGACAAGGTTCCGGAGGGTTCGGGTGCAGATACCTCGTGAGGTTCCGGAGGGTTCCGGTGCAGATATCTTGTGAGGTTCCGGAAGTTTCCGGTGCAGGTACTCGGTGAGGTTCCGGAGGGTTACAGTGCAGATACTTGGTTAGGTTCTAGAGGGTTTTGGTGCAGGTACCTGGTGAGGTTCCGGAAGTTTCCGGTGCAGCTACCTGATGAGGTTCCGGAGGATCTAGGTGATTTGGCGGAGAAGATGCTTGGTGAGGTTCCGGAGGGTTCCGGTGCAGATACCTTGTGAGGTTCCGGAGGGTTCTGGTGCAGATGCTTTGTGAAATTCCAAAGGGTTCCGATGTTTTTTAGGGCATAACGGCATAAGCTCTTTTTATGGCAAAAATGCAGAAGCTTTCAAGCTGTTGGGGATAGCACCTGAGTTTATTTTCCTGCCGTAATTCTCCCAACATATTCTGTGATTGGTGGCTGATTCCATGGTTTGGATCCGCGGAGTGGAGCCCTTCATCGCTGGAGCATTCAAAACTAGGGCCTAGGGCTTGCACCAGAAAATCCATAGACAGCCAGGAAAATCGAGCTCTTGTTTACTGGATTTGTTGACCTGACTTTTTGACCTGATTGATTAATCATATAGTTGGCCGCCATCCATGTCAAGATAATAAGTTGTTTTCAATAGGGGATTGGGCTAGCTGCTATACTATCTTGTACTAGCCGGTTTATTGGGGAACTGACCCATGACAGAACCCCTTTGGGACTGGCCCTCCAGGCTTCCTTCGAAGGCTCGGATGTGGATGTGGATGCACGGCTGGGTCCATTTATGATGGATCATTGGCATTTATGATGCCAAAGAAAAATTGCCAAAACATGAGGAAAAAAACAGGAGACCATGGATGTTTTGATACATTGACCCACCTCATTGGTCCCATGGCCAGGGGCAGAAACTCTACATGCAAATCATTGAGCTTCTTGGTTGCCACTGGATGGGGCTGTCCAGCATAGATTGGCAGATGGGGCATATGGGCATTGGCTGTGCCTGTCATCTGGGCAAATGACAAAGTGCAAAAATACATGCCGAGACATCAGAACATATCAAACAAATATCCGAATATCACTAGCACGTCATCATGAAACACTCCAGAAACAATGTAGGAACCGTTTATGAATCTAGTTCGCAGAAGACCTATGTAGCTGGTTCAAAGACCCTGTTGTAAAAGTGTTTGGTGATATCAGTGATTTGGTGCTTCGATACCCCATTTTTGTCCGTGGGTCGCTCCCCATGCCCCCTCACTTGAGGACCGCCTTTCCGGACAACTCCTTCTGGCCGCTCGATCAACAGCTCCCCAAATGGGCCATGAACTGATGATATATAATATACACCTATATGTGGCGTGTATATATATATATATATACATATTTGATCTATTAGACAAATCTATCTATAAAGATTGTAAACAAATACATAAAGGAATAGGTACCTAAATAAATAGATTGGTAAATAAAATAATCATAAATATACAAATGTACATGAATTCTATATACTCTGATGGCCCAGCACTTAGAATTTACTTAAAACCACACACACACAGAATATGGACAAACTTCTCCCACTTAGAATATGGGGTGATTTTTGCACATATCATATGGTAAGAGAACATCTTAACAAAACATTGACAACACAATGGTTTTTGCACTTAAGATATGAAAAACCTTGCAAAAATCAATGAAACATAAAGAACACAATAACTATTGATTTCTATATTGATTTCTATATTGATTTCTATATTGATATCTATATTGATATCTATATTGATTCCTATATTGATTTCTATATTGATTTCTATATTGATTTCTATATTGATTTCTATATTGATTTCTATATTGATTTCTATATTGATTTCTATATTGATTTCTATTTTGATTTCTATTGATTTCCATTGATTTCTATTGTTTTCTATTGACTTCTATTGATTTCTATTGATTTATATTATATAAAGACTTAAAAATATCTTAAACATAAAATCATATTATAAGTGCATTTTTTTCTTATTCTAAGTGCAAGACACAATAAGACACATAGAATATGGCCATATTCTAAGTGGGAGATAGTGTTTGCACATAGACATTTTTAAAACGTAAAATCTTTTAAATCATATTCTAAGTGCTGAGTCATCACTGTCGTATGTAGTGGTTACAACCGCTACACCTTTCTCCAGGAAGGTCTTTCCTTCGTGGTGGATCCAGCAGACGAGCGTGACCGACCGAAACAATTGGGCCGGGAGCCCTGACCGTGGAGAAATTTGCCACTGTGTATAGATGCATATTAACATATGTCACACACACACATATATATACATATATATATACACATGTATACATATATGTAATATGTATATGAATGCTTCTACATATAGATCTTCGTAGGTACTAGTAGCATGTTCCTATCTTTGTAGACAACTCATCTATGATTTATGTGTATTTGTGCAACGTGCGTGCACAGACATATGCATATTCAGATTTACGTTTCACCTGTTTCACACATGCACATATATACATATGTGCATATGTATGTGTACGAATACCATCCATGTACCTACATAACCTTCACATACAAACGACAGACGAACACATCCAAACAAAGACATACAGTATTAGATGTATATATAATTGTATATATGTATATATGTATATATATATATCAATTAGATATGTACACACACACACAGAGGCACATGGGTTTTTCGTTTGTTCATTGAGCAGGCAGTGGCGGATATGCACTGGTATACTGCCTGGGGAACCAAGGCCTTGGATCGTGGGGGGCAGAGGTTACGGCTATCCATGGTGAAATAACCATGGTATTTTAAGCCCCGTAAGTTGGGATATATATATATATATGATGTTATATTATATATATATATATCATATATATATAACACATATTTATTTATTTATTTATTTAACATATATATATATAGTATATCATATATAACATATATATATACACAGTATATCACACATATATATATATACACAGTATATCATATATATATAATATCATATATATATATATTTGCCCTATAACTATGGTGAAATTCATATCCACTTCGTTCAGAACTACACTTCCAAGTAGGGTCTGGCTCTTAAATCCGTTATAAATCATCATGAATCGATTGAAGATGTGAACATGCTGGTTAAACGGGAGCTCTCCTGAGTGACGGTTTGCGGTCTACCCATAGCTAATAACTGGCCACGTGGCCCGTGGGTGGAACCAGCTGCTAACAATGGATAGTGAGAGACGGGTTTTCGGGACAAAAGTATCAGTTTTCGGGACTTCCCCCACTTCTTTCCCATTTGCGTTTGTCCAACAAATGGTCCAAAAGTACATGCCTCCCAAACTTTCCCCATTAGATAGCCACCAATATACCCTCTGGTAATTTAACATAGCTATTGAAAATGGCCATTTATAGTGAGTTTTCCCATTAAAAATAATGATTTTCCATAGCTATGTTAGTTTACCAGAGGGTACCATCGTTTTCCATCAGCATTTTCGTCCCCAGGGTGGTGTCTTGGCGGAGTCCTCTGCAGTGACCTGCAACGAACCACTTCACAAGATCTTGGAGGTGCATTAGAGGCATCGTAGTTGTGATTTATATTTATGATGAATTATTATTATGATATATATATATTGTATATATTATTAATTATTATTATTTGTATTATGATGAATCATTATGATATATATATATATTATACAAGCCAACCTATTTAACGGGGGATGTTACATGAACTTACCCACTATCCAACATCATCCAGCTATTCTAGGCTGGAAGACTCACCCCCATTTTGCAGAACCATTCTGCGTACAGGAAATGATAATGAATGGTATACCAAACTGGCCCCTAGGACAATATTGTCATGACAGCAACAGGAGATGGCTAGGCATTTTTCATGAAAGATGGGAAGAACATTGTCAAGAATGCATAGTTACCATTGGTTACCATGATGATTGGATCTTAGTGATGTCTCGCCGACCTGACGTCTACCCAGGTGCTTCAACCTGGCGTTGAGGATTTTGCAAAGACCTTCTACGTTCCTGAGCAGCGGTTGTACGTGTGGGTACTACGGGGAAACTATCGCTGTTAGGATCGTCTCTGGACCCGAAAATCTGCTCATAATCCCAACATGAAATTCCCAGATGTGGGGCTTCAAAACAGTTCTTCCATCCATGGATGGTTGCCAGAATTGCTTGTAGGAAGTTCGCCTCTTCAGAATGGTTGGATGGACATTCTGAAAATGAAGGCACCGGCACCCCTTAAGTTTCTCCTTTTTTTATTCAATGAGCCGCTTTAAGCGATATTTCACAGGATCTTTCCGTGTTTTTCTCAGGATTTGTCGATGTTTCAACCGTAAAATTTCCCTTCATCCAATTTTGGCACTGGGGGGTTCGACTGAGGAAAAGGTTCCTGGACTGAAGGCAAGTACGGCCGCTGGGCTCAGACAGAGACACGTTCGAGCCTTTTTTCTTGGTCACCACAAATGCACATATCTAATCATATTTATAGATATACACAGCTCATGTGTAATATGATGTGTATATATATATAATATATTTATATTATTGTATAACATATGTGTATATATATAATAATAATAGTAATAATAATAATACTAATAATAATAATAACAACAATAATAATAATACATATATATAATATTAGGTATATCTCTACATACATTTAGTACATGTAGGGTGTTTTTTGGAGCTGTTTTTTTCCTCAGGGACGATCATAAAACCTGAGGAGTTCTCAGCCAGCACCAATGCGGATGCATTGCTGGCGTGCCAACCCGTGGCCATCACCCGGCCCTGGATGGAAGCGCAGGTCACCACTATGAAGTCACTTAGCTGACTTAGCTGTTGGGAAAAATTTACCATGGCTCAATGGATTGGTTTAAGGGAAAATCTTAACCGAAAAAAAAACAGGTTTTTACCATCAAATATAGGGCTTTCCTGTAAATTTTCCCATCATCCAATTCTATGACATGGCAATTCACCATGGATGGGTTGAAGCAAATGGTGCTGAAAAACCAGCCACAATGGGATAGAACTAACAATTTTTTTTGGTATAGAACTAAGAATATTTGGTGGTTTAAGCAACCGCAGGTATGATTTGACATCTGATTTGATAGGATATAACTATATAACAATATTGATCCGGGCAAGTGATGGTGAATGGAAGGGAAACTCACAGGTGAATTATTGTGATTTACCCCAATATCCCATGGTTCTGCACATCATTTCTCATTACCATGGCCATAAATTCCGGTATCCCCTGTTTTCGACTCTTTTCCGGGTCGACCCTCAGGAGCTTGGTCTGGTGAATAAAGGTCCCCTTCAAAATCACTGTTTGTTCATCCCATTTAGTCTTTAGTCCATGCCTATTCATCATAGTTGCAACGTCCTCCAAAAGAAATTCTGTCATTTACAACTTGGTTTATTGTTTATTGACCAGCTGCTCACTGAAAGACATGCTCATCTCTGAGTGGTTGGTAAGGCAGAAGGACATCAAGCCGTTCTTCTGGACTTTCAAGATGCCCTACGGCCTGGGGCCCAGACAAGGGGTGGGGGGGCAGAAGGGGTTTGCCAGAAACATGACCAAGTTTTTCAGTCGTCTTAAATTCTGACCCCATGGTGGCCACACGGCCATGATGAAAGGGAAACTGCTCGTGACACATCCAGCTCGCCAAGGACATGTCTTTCAGTCCGGCTGGAGTTTGCGCAAGGCCACAGTTTTCCGAGCGCCCAGGGAACAAGATTTTTCTAGCATGCGTCGCTGCGTCGCATTGCCGCTTGTACATCCTGTTTTAACGCAACTGCTGCAGATCAGCAAGGTGAATGCACACTGGCCAGGTGGTTCTTTCATTTCCTTCTTATCTGGCCTACTGGCCTTTCATATTTTTGGGATCAGGGAGAAACAGCGGATGCTGTCTCTGCACCAAACTTGCTAATGTGCAACTGAGTGGTTTCAGTGATTACTGCTTTTAGGGTGCTTTGGGAATGAATTTGACTGGCCACATCCGGCTATCAATAGCACCATCTGGATTTTAAGAGTCATAACTGATGAACTCGGATAATTACCACGGAATGCTCCGGTCTATTTTATGGGTGAAAATCACAGCCATCTGGGTCAAACGTGGCCCACAAAAATGAAGCCATTTTTCTAGGCAAATCCAATTTTACCGGGATAAAGTCGCACTTTTCAGTCCCTTCAGATCTATGGAGTGGAAGAGACAGCACCTTTCCCTTGCGCCTTGAACGCGGGGATCATGGGGGCCAATGCGAAAGTCCCTTGCTTCGCCGGGGACTGTGGCCCCTTGGCATGCCAGGGTCATGGCCAATTGGTATAGCTAGTATACTTTTTAAATGCCCATTTAATCCCACTTTCATGGGGATCATGATAATAAGCAATAATAATGAATCAGCACAGTTTTTTTTTTTAATACAATAATGGATTTAGTAATACACCCATGAAAAAATAAGAATATGGTGGATTGAGTCAGAGTTTTAGTGTGGAACCATTCCGAGGCTTTAATTGATAAACACCCTGTGAATTCAACCAAGAAGAGGGGTGTGTCTGGGGATTTTTCATGCGAACATCATGGGGATCATGATGATCCATCAGACTTTGGGGTCCATTATTTTCATATGAAACACATTGAAACACCCCCAGAAAAAAATAGGGAAGTGTGAATCAAGCATGGATTGTGGAAGCAAGCATTGACCTTGGATGTGTGTTGCCACTTTTGATCGAACGTACAGGGGCCCTAGATCCATACGCTGTTGTGACAACTCAACATGGCATACCAAAAAGGGTGAGGTTTGCACCTTCCGCTGCTCCGCTCAGTGCTACAGTGGTAGCGGCAGCTGTGGTGACCTTCCAGGCAAATGCCGGAACTTGAGGACATCGCGACGCCTGAGGCTAGAGCTTCGACGGCGGTGAGTCCCTTTGCAGGGGCAACTGGACCAGGCGATGGAGAAGGAGGCGGGGGGAGAGACCGTGATGGGGTCCGAGATAGAGAACCACCTCCTTCTTACGATGGTTTGGATCCAGAAGGAACGTTTAAGACGTTCGAGAAAAGTGTGCGGCTGTGGGAGTTTGAGACAGACATCCCACGAAGAAAGCAAGGTGCAAAACTCCTTAGAGGTCTTACAGGCATGGCACAGTTGGCAGTGGAAAACATGGAGTTTGAAGAAATAGCCACAGAAGACGGAGTGAGAAACGTCATGCGTAGACTGAAGGAGTTTTTCCTCCCACACTTGGAGGTCAGTTTGCCAAGGGCTTTTGAGAATGCAGTATATGGAAAACCAAGACAGGCTTCTGAAGGATATGCAGAATACATAGCAAGAATGGAAAGGGCTTTTCATAGGCTAGAGAGAGAAGGAGTCACGATGCCAGATGGAGCCACAGGGTACATACTGTACCGTCATGCGAGCTTGACAGAGGCTCAAGACCAAAGGTTGCTGACATGGTGTGATGGAAAGTATGACAAGAGCTCCATAGTCAAAGCTCTTCGGAAGCTGGACAAGGTGGTGCGAGAGAAGTCGGGCAAGTCGTCCTACTTCAATGACGAGGGCGAGGGCCTTGACGAGGAGGCCTACATGATGGAAGATGAAGACGAAGACAATTACGTCTACGTCGCCGATGGCGATTTGGATCAGGTGTTCACCGAGGAGGAGATGATGGCTGCATTGGCTAGCTACAAGGAGGTGAGAGACTCCCTGAGAGAGCAAAGGAACAACAGAGGATACTATCCTCGAGGCAAAGGCTTTGGGGGCAAGAACATGACAAAGGGCAAGGGCAAGCACCGAGTGCACATCGAGCAGCTCAAGTTGAGGACGAAGTGCTGGCGTTGTGGGGCACTGGGGCACATTAGCCGTGAGTGCAGTGCGCCGGCTCCGGAACGCGGCAAGGGCTCGATGGGAAGTTCTTCCAATGCTCCTTCGTCGAACCCGTCTCAGAAGTCTGGTTTCTTTGTCATAGGAGAGTCAGAGGGTGGCCAAAGCAGCTCAGTTTTTCCAGTTTGCCAAGATGTGCAACATGATGCTTCGCACTGGTGGTTGAGACAGTTTGTAGAAGAACGCAGGCGAAAGAACGCCAGCGGACCTCAGAGCTTTGCGCAGTCCGAGAGAGCATACAAGAGTGCAATGTCCGAAGGGTTTTGCGGCATCATGACACAATCAGCACATGGAATAGTAGATACTGCAGCAGAAGGAGGCTTAGTAGGTTCAAAGGCATTGGAGCGTTTGACTGGAGAGTTGCAGAAACATGGACTTACATGCAAGTGGACACCAAAGAGATCATCAGCAAAAGGCGTAGGAGGACAAGCAAAGGTGATTGGAGTGGTGCTGATACCTCTAGGAGTTGGTGGTTTGAACGGAGTTTTAGAAGCAACCGTGGTTGAGGGTGACGTGCCGCTGTTGTTGCCGGTGAAAATGATGAAACAACTCAAAGCGATCATTGATTTTTCCAAAGGCATCTTCACCATCACCTCTGAGTCCATCGAAGTTCCCATGTTTGAGCTTCCGTCAGGGCATGTCACGATCGATATTCTGAATTTTGCAGACACAGGTTTTGAGGTTTCAGATCCAGATGCTCCATGCTCCACATCCGATTTTCAACTACATGTTTCTGCCCGAGCCATGCTGGCTCAGCTCGGGATCAAAAAGTGTGCAGCCCCATCATTGGGTTTTCCGCAAAACTCTCCGCTCTCTTTGCTCGGCGAACATGGCGAGCTTAGTGCAGCGGCTGATGGGTGGGCAGCACGCGGTGGAGACCTCCGAGCCGATGTTTGGAAGTCCGCCAAGAGCCCGGCGTCCGAAGGTGGCACTACGTGGATGGCGAGTGGTGATGGACAAGATCGTCACCATCATGCAATTCGTGGATCAGCAATTGGCCGTGCAGGAGTGGTTCCCAGGCTCCTCTGGACTTTTGGTGCGGCCTACGCCGCTGTCCAAGGAGCAAGAGAAGGTCGAGGATGTGTACGCCCAGCTGATCGTTGGGGCGGAGGTGTTGCCTCCGTTGAAGAGCCAAGAGAAGCCATCTACAGCAGCCAGCTCTTGCATCCACCCGAAGAGTGCTCTGAAAGGAGGTGGAAACAAGAGCGCATCGTACATCTTTTGCAAGATGTGCATGAGCCGTTGGTCCAGCCCAATGACGGCGGCAGAGATACATGCAGGCTTGAAAGAGCAGAAGAAGCAGGGCCCCTTGAGTCAAAAGAAGGAGGTTCAGAAGAAGGTGCGTGCAGTAGAGGATGCAGAGATGTTGGAGCCGCCATATGGAGAGGAGGTGATTGCCAGTCAAGTGGCGGCGCAAGCTCAAGACCAATTGGAGAAGATGCAGCACCAGATGCAGATCGAGACAGAGAAGATGCGAGTGGCACAAGCAGAGATGTGGCAGGAGCTTCAGTCCCAAAGACAGGAGTCCAAGGAGAAAGAGGTAGTGCATCAAAGGGCACTACTCGCCATGCATCAGGAGAAGGAGGATTTGGAGAAGCAACTTCGTCAAATGAAAGCAGCAGCAGCAGCTCCGCAGGTCAAGCTGTGTTGGTGCGGGAAGTCAGCGGAGAAGTTAGTGGTCCGCAAAGAGGGAGCACGTCAAGGAAGGAAGTTCTGGAAGTGCACTCAGAGAGAATGCCAGTACTTCGAGTGGGTGCCGAGAACTCCGAGCCCACCACCGAGCGAGATGAGTGGGTTCTCTCTGGTCACGTCACAGAAGACCGGAGAACAGATGAGCGTGGCATCTTCCAGGAGGAGGAGCAAGAGTCCCAGAACAGCACATCGCACCCATGCAGCAGGACAAGTGGCGGAGACGATCTCCGATTGAGTCAGGAGACCTGGCTCTATGCGACGGCAGTCAAGGGACAGAGGACCTTGAACAGGGTGCTTCGAGGTCATGATCCGCATTTTGCGGCCAGCAGTTTTCAGTATGAAAAAGAAGAGACTGAAGGTGAGTGGAAAGTTATGAGCGGGCAGATACCTCCTCGGGAGGGGGTCTCTGTTCGAGTGAAAGTTGTTTTGCAGAAGAGGGCTGAAGCAGAGAATTTCTTTGGCTTAGAGAAAGAGACGCAGTTCAATAGAAAACAGAGAAAGATGATGAACAGGGCGTTTGAAGCAGTGACGCCTGTGGTGAGCGAGGTGTTCTCACCACCACGCGTCGTTGAGGAGGCGCGAAGACAAGGTCTGCAGCCGGGCACCTCATTTGACATCACAGAGGGCTGGGACCTTAGCAAGCCAGAGATCAGGAAAAAGATGTGGAGAAAGCTCAAAGAGGAAGATCCGTTATTGATCATTCTTTCACCTCCTTGCGTTGGTTTCAGCATTTTGCAGGAACTCAACCTGCCTCACATGTCATGGGAAGATGCAGTGATGTTGATTTCCACAGGGTTGGATCAGTTGGAGCTCGCGATGCTGATCGCGAAATGGCAAGCCAAAAGAGGCAGGTACGTTTTGTTTGAGCATCCATGGCTAGCCAGATCATGGCATGAGGAGTCAGTGAAAGAAGTAGAGCAAATGGCAGGCATGCACAGAGTTAGATGCGATCAGTGCATGTATGGTTTGCGAGTGGATGAGTGGGGTCTCAACATGAAACCCACTGGAATCATGGTCAATTCAGAAAAGATAGCAGCACGCATGAACCGAACATGCGACCATCGACATTTTCATGCGCCTACCATGAATGGCAGACCAAAGAAGGCGCAAGTATACCCTAAGGAGTTTTGCAGGCAGATTATTTTGGGTTTGAAAGAACAAATGGAGGTAGATGGAAAGTTGAGGCTGAAGTCAGAAGTTTTTGTAGAAGACGAAGATGAGGAGAATTCGGATCATGAGGAGGATCCGAATCCAGAAGCAGCCGCAGGAGAAGCAGAAGGAGATTACTCCATTTCAGAGGAAGAGAAGAGACAGGTGCAAAAGATGCACCGTAGCTTGGGGCATCCGCAAAAGCCCGAGTTTGTGCGTTTTATGAGAGCAGCCAGAGTGAAGGGAGAAGTCATTCGATGGGCGGCACATGAGTTCAAGTGCCCAGCGTGTGAGGCACGGCCCAAGCCGAAGGCCACGAGACCAGCAGCAATTCCTAGAACATACCAGCCAAACAGAGTCTTGGGGGTGGACCTGATTTTCCTTCCAGAGGTTGGAGGAAAAGAAACATTCCCAGCATTGTCCATTTTGGATTGGGGTTCCAACTATCAGGTGGTAGAGAGAGTCGAGAACAAACACCCAGACACCGTGTGGAACACAATGTGGTCATGTTGGTTTAGGACGTTTGGCTGGCCTGACGTCATTGTCTGTGACGCCGGAAAAGAGTTCTCAAGGAAGTTCATGCAGCTGGCCACGTCATGTGGCATCGTGGTGCAGCCCATTGCTGCAAAGGCACCATGGCAGCAGGGAAGAACAGAGAGGCATGGAGCATTGTTCAAAGAGTTACTTGCCAAGGGCAGAGAAGAGACAGTCATCTCCAGCCCAGAAGAATTGAGGAGACTCATGCAAGAGACAGAGATGGCAAAGAATCGATTCAGCAACCGATCAGGGTATTCCCCAATTCAGAGGCAGATTGGGCAATGGCCGAAGGTGCCGAGTGAACTCCTTTCAGATGATGTCATAGACCCAGGATTGATGGATGGTGCCGTGGTCGATGACATGGAGAGGAGTTTGGAGCTGCGAAGAATCGCGCAAAAGGCGTTCATCGAACACAACGCCCGAGAGTCCTTGAGGAGAATAGAAAAAGGAAGGAGCAGAGTTCCCCAAGAGTTTCAGGCAGGGGACTATGTTTACGTGTACAGAGTAGCAAGAGAGAAGAAGAGGAAGCATGAGATAGGGCCAAGGAGTCAGGAGCATGTTCCAAACAAGGCATCTTGGATTGGTCCAGGAACTATTGTTGCGGTGGATGGAGCTAGCTTGTGGATCTCCATGTTTGGAGAATTGTGGAGGACTGCACGCGAACAATGTCGCACGGCGACAAACATTGAGAAGCAAGGAATTGAGGAGGTTATGAGGAGCTGCAAGGAACTGGTGGAGGAATACAAGAGGTCATCCAACAGAAAAGGATACAGAGACATCAGAGATGAGAGGTGGCCATCAGACGATGAGATAGAAGACGGATCGGAGGAGAGTCCAGGGAAGCGAGAGGTGAGATTTCAAGAACCCCTCGAAGAAGGAGAGGCTCCCGTATCAGAGGGATACGCGCCAACCACTCCGATAGACTCCCCTCGAGGTGGGGAGATTGAGAACGGAGAGACAGAAGACTCGGAGATGAGTCACAGAAGATCAGAGAGAACAGAAGAGACGATAGAGGAGCCAGAAGGAGAGGCCAGACGCAGAAGCTCATTGACAGAATCAGAGATTCGAGAAGCATTGAGATCAGAAGAGGAGACGGCAGACAGGCCAGAGACAGAAGAAGGAGATGAACGATATCAGAGGATCGTCGAAGAGTCGATCCACAGAAGTCGTCGCCTAGAGGGTCTTCCGGCAATAGGACAACCTTTGCGAGTAAGGAGTCGACCGTCTGCCGATGGTCCATACTTCCAAGAAACCTTCTTTATAAGTCCAGAGGAAGAAGAAGATTGGCAAGAAGAGGAAGAAGACAGAGAAGATCACATGAGATGGCAGAAGCTGTGCAAGATGAGCCAAGAAGAGCCCAAGAGAGACGACTGGGAATTGGACTTGAAGGGTCAGAAGATGATCCGACATCACGTCCAGAAGAGAAAGGCACTTTTCTCCCCAGAGGGAGTAAAGTCCACACCAGTCAAGTTGAATCACATGCAGCAACAGAGAATCACTATAGTGGATGGTTGCAAGAATCAAGAGGAGAGACGTATAGAAGATCAATGGACACGAGGAGATGCCAAGAGAAGCCGAGGAGTTTGGTGGACAGGCCGCACAGAATTTTTCCTGTGCTCCAAGTCAGAAGGCAAGACAGAAGAATCCATAGAGACATGGGCAGTAGAGAAGAAAGGCACAGAAGACGTTGATCTGAGAACAGAAACGCCTGAAGCCCTCGAGGGCTGGAAAATGGCTGATGCAACAGAATGGGAAAAGATCAGCAAGAGTGGCGCTGTGAGAGTTCTCAGCGTAGAAGAATCAAGAGAGGTCAAGAAGAAACTGGCTTCAGAAGGCAAGCTAGATAGGATCTTGCCCACTCGGATGCTCAGAAAGTACAAGCATGCTGAACAGCCAAATGAGCCTCCTTCCCAGAAAAGCAGGCTGTGTATCAGAGGAGACAAGGACCCAGATATTTTTGATCTGGAACGATTTTCACCAACGGTGTGCACCATGAATTTGAACGTGGTGCTTCAACTGGCAGTGAACGAAGGAATGCAGATCGGCATTGGAGATCTAAAGAACGCATTCTGCCAGTCGCAACCGCTGATGAGAAAGAATGGAGCCTTGTACTTCAAACAACCACAAGAAGGAATCACAGGGCTACACCCTGAGCAGATTGTTTTGATCATTGCTGGATGTTACGGCTTAGTGGATGGACCACTGCATTGGAGAAAGTCATTGGTTCAGACGCTGAAAATGCTGGGCTATCAGGAGAGCAAGTTGGATCCATGTTTGTTCAAACTGTTTGAGAATGGGAAGCTTTGTGGTTTGCTTGCGATAGAGGTTGATGATATTTTAGCATGCGGGAAAGGTTTACATCTGAAAAAGATTGAAGAGCTGAAGACCCTGTACAACTTCGGCAAGTGGGTTGACCTCCGCGATTCCACTCAAGGTGCCTCTTTCAATGGAAGAAGACTTCGAGTGGGGAGCAAAGGCGAAATTCTCATTGACATGTGCAAGTTCATCCAGGAGAGGTTGCATGAAATTCCATTAGACAAAGGCCGGAGATCGTCCAAGAAGGAGCCGGTCACAGAAACAGAACGAACACAAGCCCGGGCCTTGTGTGGTTCGCTTAACTGGCTATCCAAAGAGGGAAGGCCAGATGCGGCAGGCCCATCTAGCTTGATGTCCTCGCGTTTGACCAGAATGACAGTGGAAGATTTGATTCAGCTGAATGAGGTGGTTCGTGGTTTGAAGGAAACTGCAGAAGTGACTCTGCAGGTGCAACCGCTGAAAGAGATGCAGTTGGCGGTCATCACAGACGCTTCATTTGGAAATGATGGTTTTCATTCTCAGGGAGGTCAAATGATATTAGCTCATGAGCCAGGCTTGAAGAAAGGTCAGAAGGTCAAGACGAATTTGCTCTGGTGGCGTAGTGCGAAGCTGCAACGGGTTGTAAACTCTACTCTGGCGGCAGAAACACAGAGTTTGTCGAAGGGCATAGGAGACCTTTTATGGATGAAAGTTTTGATCCGTGAGCTGAGCGAGGAGAAGTTCAACATAAAGGAATGGCCTGCGCAACTTGCGAGTGAGAGGGTTTTAGCCTTAGCCAAAGACACAAGTTCCCAAGAGTTGCAAGAATGTCTTGCGATTGTAGATGCGAAGAGCTTGTTCGATCACCTGTCGAAAGAGTCGATAGGGGGACAGGACAAGCGTACAGCTATAGAAATCCAGATAATTCGACAGGAACTGGCACAAATGCATGGCGAAGTGAGATGGATAGATCACCCTGCAATGCTGGCTGATCCATTGACAAAGGTCAGGGGATCGACGAAGGCATTACATGACATGCTTTCGAGTGGAGCTTTTGGCATAGTAGCAGAGGTTGATCACATGGCCCATAGGAAAGAGATCAAAGCATCCAAGGTCAACAGAAAACTTGGGAGCTGTGAATCAAGCATGGATTGTGGAAGCAAGCATTGACCTTGGATGTGTGTTGCCACTTTTGATCGAACGTACAGGGGCCCTAGATCCATACGCTGTTGTGACAACTCAACATGGCATACCAAAAAGGGTGAGGTTTGCACCTTCCGCTGCTCCGCTCAGTGCTACAGGAAGACACCACACATTTGGGACTATAGTCCATGGTGCTTCATATGAATGGAAGATGGGCTTGAAGACCAAATGCTGAAATCGGGCCTGGTGCAGTCTTGGGTTTGCCCCAAAAATGTTCAATGGAGTTCAACTTCTGGAAAACATGGAATTATGAGTTGACGCATAGTCAAAGCAGCAATGTTTTGCATGTTTTGCCATCCAGAAGTGGGATGGCTCACCGAGAGTTGTCCCACAGTCCACAATGTGCTGTAAGGCTCTTGAGCTTGGTGCTGCAGTGAGATCCGTGCTGAGCTAGGCGACAAGCTGACCTAGGGTTTCTGACGCTGAAATGCTTGGAAATTGCTTAGTATTTTCTTTTCAAGCATTGATATAATCTAGTGGAGATATATCATGATTCTTGCTGGCAGAAGAAATGATCGATGAGTCTGTCACTAGCTGTTCACATATGCCATGATGTCTCGTGATTTCTCCACTTCGATTGTTAGTTTCGCATCCAGCACACGGGCATGGGACAAAATGATCGGATCCCCAATATGGAAGGAACCATCAACAACCAAATGTGGACCACAATTTTGACCCTTGCCCACATGAAAAATGCCGAATCTTCTGCTTGGTGGTTGAAGAAAATCAGTTTTTTTTTTCCCCCATCCTGACAGATATCTGATCCCTTTCCCTGGAGTTTCTAGGAGTCGCGAAAAACCACCAACCAATCTTTCTCCCCATGAAGCACCATGGGAACAAAGTTCGGACTCACTCTCAGTTTGGTGGCAAAGTCCCCAAGGCGACGGCAAAGACCCAACGCGCAAAAGTTGAGCGTCAAATTGGAGAACTGAACATAACAAATAATACGTACATACATATACATACATATAATATGTACATACATATAATATATATATATATATTTCTATATATGTATATGCTACAACAATGTAAGCGTGTGATTTAGTATATGTATCTATAGTTGAATGTGTATGTTCACATCAAGAGAACACATACATACATACATGCACAAATGCATGCATACCGGGAAACATGAATAGCTTCGATGTACATGCCCTCGATGGATCGCCCTGAGGTTTACTTTTGTATGCGTGGCACTCTTGGATGGCCACAGGACCTGGCAGCCAGCGGTTGGGCCCTACCATTTGAGGAAAATCACGCGTTGGTTCATCCACCCATTGGGTCAATGGACCCCAAAATCCAATGGATGTCATTGAAAATCATCATTTTCCCTATTGAAAAAAATGGCGGTCATTGTACGCCCCATTTTCAGACGCCTTTTTTTATCATACTGTGGGTGATCTTCCCATGATTCATTTCCATTGAATCCCCAGACAAGCCCCAGTGCTTGTTGGTTGATTCCGCAGTGTGTTTATCAATCATACCCCAAGATGTACCCTCTGGTAATTTAACATAGCTATTGAACATGGCCATTTATAGTGGATTTTCCCATTAAAAATGGTGATTTTCCATAGTTATGTAAACGTTTACCAGAGGGTATCCATATGTTTGATGCTAAACCTTCAACGCAATCCACCAGTTTATTTTTGCTGGCCGTATGATTCTTCATCCATTCTAGAAATTATGGTGTTTGAATCCCCATATATAGAGGTTTCCTGAAATAGGGGCACCCCCAAATCATCCATTTGTAGATGGGATTTTCCCTTATCAACCATCCATTTGGGGGTCCACTGGGCATCGAAGGTGCAGCACCAAGGTGAAGGGAAGTCGATTTAAGGGGATTTAGCGGGGGATCTCCAAAATGGTTGATTTATAATAGAAAAATCCCAGCCAAAAATGGATGTGCCACGGGGTCCTCCCCATTGTAGGACACGTCCATTTGATAAGTTTTTCCAAAACTGGAATACCTATATGAAGAAGAGGATCTAAGTTGCCCAATTCATGTTGATGCCCTGAATGAATAAACCCCTATCTACATATGATTGATACGATCTGACTTTTCTGATTCATATATGATATATATTTCTTTGTGATGTAAGGTCCTCCTTTTTCCAGAAATGGAGGATTTTGCTGGCTGAACTATGTGTGCAGGGTAGCTAGGCTTAGCCATGGTACTTGTGACAGCTTTGGGATATGCCAGCAAGCTGAATTGCGGTTTACCACCTAAGAAGGGTAAGTGTCTATATACAGGAAATATCAATTTGTTGTTCTTGTTTGTTCCTATGCTGTCTCAAAGGGGGCTTGGAACTGATGCTCGTGGATATGCTACCTAGGCACCTCAAAACGGTAGGAGCCTAGGCTCACCAGATGGTTCCACAAGTTACAAGTTCAATGGACATCTGTCCGGGAATGTGGTGCACACATTCACAAGATGTAAGTTTATTATTTCATTTATTTCATCTGCTGAGTTTATATATATATATTTGTTATGATACAACCCAAAATGGTACAGAACATTTTTCTGGTTGCAAGAATTACATGTTTCCAGTCAAAACATGTTATTGTATCACCCCACATGATGGTTATGGAAACAAAACAGGTTGATGCAACCACAAATAAATGATATGCAACCAAAAACAATATTATGCAACCAAAAACATGTTATGCAACCAAAAACATGTTATGCAACCAAGAAATGTTATGCAACCAAAAAAATGTTATGCAACCAAAAAAAAGTTATGCAATCAAACAAAATGTTATGCAACCAAAAAAACTGTTATGCAACCCCAAAAAATGGTTATGCAACCAAAAAACACTGTTATGCAACCCAAAAAAATGTTATGCAACCAAAAAAATATGCAATCAAACAAAATGTTATGCAACCAAAAAAACTGTTATGCAATCCAAAAAGAAGGGTTATGCAACCAAAAAAAACTGTTATGCAATCCAAAAAATGTTATGCAACCAAAAAAAAAGTTATGCAATCAAACAAAATGTTATGCAACCAAAAAAACTGTTATGCAATCCAAAAAGAATGGTTATGCAACCAAAAACAACTGTTATGCAATCCAAAAAATGTTATGCAACCCAAAAAAAAGTTATGCAATCAAACAAAATGTTATGCAACCACAAAAACTGTTATGCAACCCAAAAAGAATGGTTATGCAACCAAAAAAACTGTTATGCAATCCAAAAAAAGGATGATGTTGCCAAAAAAAGGGTAACGTAACACATAAAAAGGATGATGCAACCAAAACAAACCAGTGTTGTAACCAAACCAAAGGTGATGCAACCACCACCAATGGTTGTGATACAAACAAACAAATGATGTAACTCACTGTCTGGGAGGGCAGGATATCACAAAACAATTGTGCACAACTATAGTTCCGATGGTTCAAACAAGTGAGATGCCATTGTTGTTTAGACAATGTGGCTGTCTGAGATCTATTGTTACACCTTGTTTCAAATGGTGTTATCATGTGTTATTTGTAACATAGCCAGAAATAATTATCTCTGTTGACCGATGGGTAGTTATTTTTACTGACCACCAAATATAGCCCGGGTGGTGGTTGGAGATGGATCATTGGACAATACAGATGGACAACACCTTACACAAATGATGCAGTAACTAATATTATATACATATATTATCTACCTTGATCATATTGTCTTGAGCCTTACACAGATTACACATATACAAAATCATGTATATACACATATATATATATACACATACATGATGTCATCGTATCTCAACATAGTTACAAGTGTATACATATATATATATCGCACAAATACGGCTTTCCATCTACATTATATTCTTTTTAAACTACAGTATATATAAATATGTGCATAATCATATTTCCCATTATTATAACTGTGACATGTTAAAAGACTGTTATAGTTCTGAATTGGCATGCTACAGATAAAACCATTGTGGCCCCAAGACTGGCCCAAGGCTACTTAGGCCTTACATAGGCTATCTAAGCTACCTAGGCTACCCCCTGGACATGGTGCCCAGGAAGGGCCCCCAAGCATCACTTTTTTAAGTGATTTGAGCTGGCATAGTTTATTCCTATAGTCTTGGTTAATTGAAACATATATATACTGATGGTAATTTATATAGTTCTGCTCTGATTGGTACACATGGACTCCTAATTGATGACCAGTTTAACCCCATGCTCATACCGCGGAGAAACAATCATGGCGCCACAGAAGATTGTTCCTCTGTGGTGGAACCTTCACCCTACACCAACCCTGTGTTTTGGGGAGTAGGCACAACGAATTGTATCGACCAGCTAAATGTTGAGGATGTGAGTCAGCAAAAACGATGCGGTGCTAAAAACCATGCAATTTTGGATCTCTCCCTCTCTCTCTCTCTCGCTATATATATATATCATATAACTATGTCTGTAAAACATTGACACCCGGTTCAAGTCCTATCGCCAAAGCAACTTGGGTCTGGATATGGATCTGCGGTACGGACCCAGAAGCGGGTGGCGATTTTCATTATTTCTATACGCTTATTTGACTGATTTAACCATCCATTTTTAGGTGTCAATAATTTTGACGAACAACTTACCATAAATCCCGTCAAGAATCATAATGGCTATTTCATCCACGAAGATGGGAATATCCATTGAGTTCCCGTTGATGGAAGGAACATATGATGTCCCATTCAATATTTGATATTCCCATCAATAATTATTGATACCCATGAATACAAGCTGGTGAGATATTGGAATACCATGAACCCAAACGTTATTGGAGTTATGTTCACCAACTTAGCTTCCCTAAAATCACCGGTGATCAACTATAAAATACCGGTGAAATCACCTCTAAGTCCCCAAGTTTCTTGGTGAAATCCCCCCCCCAGGACGTCCCGGAGACGGAGTGAAGGCCCGCCCAGGGTCTTCCAGCGCCATTGCAGGTGCCAGGGAGGAGCCTCGGGTTGAATTCTCTATATTTAGTCGCTATAGCCAGAGGGAAATTTAACTACATATTCACCATGTATTTAAAACTCATCTATTTATTGTTGAGAGGCAAAGTCTTAAACCACCAGAGCGTAGATAGGTAAATCATCTCCATTTGCTATGGAAGACCACCTAATTTTTAAAGGGTAGAGACGATAAATCATGAAACTTTGTTGGGCCATGGCTTCCATAGCTATGTCAAATAAGCAGTTGGTAACTGGGATTCTGGGGATGTAGCATTGAATCGTTTGTGATGATACTCTACGGCAATGACTAACAGTTTGCTATGGCTAAGCCGTGGCCCGCAAAAAGTTCGATTAAATAGCCATTGTTTTAACATGGTGATTTTCAATCGCTTTTTTTAAATTTACCGGAGGGTATATATATGGGACTTTTAAGCATGAAACATAGACTCGGTAGACTTGACAAAGATGAGGGATTTGACCAAGGAAAAGAAGGGGTATAGTTGGGTTTTCATGGGAATACAATGGTGATGTACAAGCAATACCATACTTTTTGATAATTTTTGGGTGTGTCATTGTGTCATGATTAAATTGCATTTAAAATGGGGAACATCATGAATCATGACTAACTATAGGATTTTGGGTGTACCCAACTTCAAGGCAAACCCTTCATTCGGTGCTATGAATCATCCCGTGCACTGCGTGCAGAAATCCAGGACTAGCCACTGAACTAGCCAGAGGGACTAAAGAATTAGCAAGTGGGATGGCTTGTGCAAGTGGCTTCAGAGTATTTAGAACTCCAGGTTTTCAGTGGAGATCAGATTTCGTTCGTCGGATTGAGAACTTGTTGTAGGATGTGTCTGAGATGGCACGCCATCTGCCTTGAGAGCTGGTACCCAGTATACCCTCTGGTAATGACTAACATAGCTATTGAACATGGCCATAGAAATAGTGAGTTTTCCCATTCAAGATGGTGATTTTCCATAGTTTTTTGTATGTTTACCAGAGGGTATATCTGCCCTCGGATGTGCAAGTGGAAATCTGGCCCTCTCAAATCCACTTTTTTCCACTTCAGGGTGGATAAAAAATTAACAGCTTGGATGGTCCCTGATGGCTTGGTCAATGGTTTTCGTAGCTGCCGGTGGACAAACCATGATGGTTCCATGGAGCAGACCTTTTTTGGGGAAAGGTCGGAAAGGTTCAAGAGTTGAAACTCTGACTTGTTGATTTTTTTTTTTCCAACGATAGTATTCTTTTGCATCAGTTTTAACATCCATTTATCACCCCATTTTTCAATGGACGATAGGAGGAGCATCTTTTTTTCAGTGGTCACCTGTTTGCACCCTGCGCTGCCATGGCGGGCTACGTGACACAAGCTGATCTGCCACCCTCGGATGATGAAAGCCAGGAAGAGTTTTCTGGAGAGGCTGACTATCTTGAGCGGCTCAAACGCATGAAGTGGATATAAGTGGATTGAACCGAGGTATGCCCTAATTTTGGAACCCATTTCTTCTGACTTTGGCTTGGAGTTCCGCAGAGTTTTGGCCGCTGAAACTCCTTAGCTTTTGGTACACAGTTTTTGACCCTGGATGTTGCTTCAAAGATGTCAACCCAAAGCCAAAAATCATCGTCTCGTCTTAAGCATTTTCCAAATCCACACATCTTCAATCATCTTCATAAATTTACTTTTTTTGCAAATTCATAAATCTTCAATCATCTTCATAAATTTACCATTTCCTCAGGAAATCGACCATTTTCCCAAGCTTCGAACGGTTTCGAAATCAGGTCGGTGAAATTCCCCAGGTATCGCAGCGTGAAGCTGGAGACCTCCGAGGCCTCCGAGGCCGCCACGGCGCGCTTCGTCTTTCGCGCCTCGCAGCTGCCGAGGGATTTGGTGCAGCGGGTCGTGCTGCCCTTCGCAGTGCCGGAGAGGACGCCCTGGTACCTGGCTATCTACAGAACTATCAGAAAAAAAAACAGGTATGTATATCATAATAATTAAGTCTAATATAAGTAATATATGCAGGCTTTTATATATATATATATATTTATTTATATATATCGTATATATATATATATATATATATTCAATTATAGGTTAGATGGCTTACTGTATTTTGTTTTCACTATATAACTACAATGGAAGTATATGGGTATCTACGAAATTGATGCCAAACTGTAACAAATTATGGATCTCACACCAACAAAAAATCATCACAGACTCTCCAGACCCAAACATTTCTCAACGGGGGTGACCTACACTCTTCCATCAGCAAATTCCAGAGACTCCCAAAAAAGGCAGATTTTCAAGTCATCTCGGTCCTTTGGGCAGGGTGGAGGCCCCCCATTGAAGGTGAAAGGCAGATTTTCAAGTTGCTTGCATCCATATTTTCTTACCTTATAATCCATTCTTCAAACACACATGGTCATTTTTACAGTTGATATACCCTCTTGTAATCAAACATAGCTAGGAAAATGCACCATTTCTTGATGTTCCCAGCTCTAAACCCCCATGGCTTCGGGGATTTGATCATCGTGACACGGGAGGAAGGAGGAGCAGCAACGGCTTTCCCAGATGCTGTTCCACCTGGGCTTGGTATTGCTAGTGTCCTGGCCTTGGTGGGCTAATCATGATTTTCCCCAAATTGCCACTTTGACGTATCACACATTTTCAGGCAGACCCCATAGATATGTATATATATAATATAATATATGTATATATATTATATAATATATGTATATATATATTATTATTATATATATTATATTATATATATATATATTATATTATATATATAATATTATATATATATTATATGTATATATATATATATAACTATATATATAACTATATATATAACTATATATATAACTATATATACATATATATACATATATACATATATACATATATACATATATACATATATACATATATACATATATATATATATATATATGTACATACATATAGATATCGTGATAATGAAAAATGGCAATGGCAGCCCCTGTTGACCAACCAGCACGAGGGGATGAGGGAACAGCTCAAGTGTCGAAGATTTGGGACTGTCTAGGGACTGTGCAGCAACCAAGTCGACCAAGTCGATTGTTGAAGACCAGCTTGTCGATCCCAGACCTTCTGCTAAGGTAATCAAAGTGAATGTACGCATGGCTTTGTCATGTTTTGTACAACAATGGGGGATACCCAAACACTTTGTAGCAGGAAAGTGATGAGAACCCATTCGAATTGGGGGCAAAATCTTTTCAGTGAAACCCACAACTCCAAACCACAGAGCGAAGAAACTCTAGGTTTGGCCCTGGATGTGCTTTGGACCTCCATGCTGCTGGGCCAAGATATTGTTTGTCACACGGGGCAGGTTCCCACAGGTAGAGGTGAAAAGGATATGCCCATGACTAGAGATCTACCATGAAATCAAACTGATGCTTGAGGCCTTCAGATTTCTGCTGGATCTTTGACAACCCAACAACAGGACTGAGGATTGACAGAGAGTATACATAAATGGATATAATATATATATATATGTATGTATATATATATATGTATACATGGAACATGTGAGCATGTCAGGACTGCCCCAAAAATAAATCCATATCGTCCGCGAGCAGCAAAATGTTTGAGGGTTTTGGATGATTTTCGGGGCTCCAAAGTTGTGAGACATAGCCATACTTTCAGATATAGGCTTGTCTGAAAATGGGGTACCCCCCAACCCTATGTTAATTCGCGCTTGGTGGCGCATCCCCATTTTCAGACACACCAAAATATCATATTGCGGGTTATATCATATATCCCCATTATTGTTCCCACTAAATCCACAGTATTTATACCCTTATTTCTGTTGATTAAATCTGTCATGTTTCTCAAGCGCAGAAGTGGCGGGGAGATCTCACAACTTTCGCGTGCTGACAACCATGCTTGCAGGAATGGTGGCGATGGTTCTATCGCGAGTGCCTCGCAGAATGGGCTGTGGTCAATGGACAGACCTGGGAGGAGACAGCTGTGGGGCAAAAAAAGGAATTGCCGACTGTGGAGGGTGGAAATATCTGGGTAAAGATAACTAGTAACCAGTGGATTTTGACCATAATTCAAATCGACTATTTCACTCCTAGTTCATCGTTGGTCAACATCCCATTTTTCTTTTCAGGACATCGACCTCCAGCTACTTGTGGCACCCTCGACCAGGCATTTTTTGGGCATATGATTTTGACCCATATCAACTATGGTTGCTCTAAATCTCGGCCTGCTCTGAAACGATTTTTTTCGTGCTCACAAGAGCGAAGTGGGATCTCCAACGTTGAGAATACAGTGGAGAACCACCTTTGCTTCTGGAAAAAAGAAGTTGAAAGAAACATGTGGGGATGGGTCGGACCTACAACAGCTAAATATAGCCATTTAGGGGCTGAACATCGATAAATCCCAGCAATTTTGGGTTAGGTTTTGATCCACTCTTGTTTCTGTCCAGGCCAAAACTCAGGTGCCAGCTTCGGCACCGGATGGCGGCAAACGCGTCATGTGTCCCCTGGGTGGAGGGAAGGATAGCTTGGTGGTCTTTGAGATGTTGAGATACCAGGCCTGCACTCATGATTTCATGAAGTTGATTTCAGGGTGAGATGGGACGCTGAATTTAGATGATCTGGATTGAAATTGTCGCACCACTGGAATCCGAGGTGATTCTTTACCTGGTTTGTGTGCTTTTGAACAGTTTCAATGAGTTGATTGCATGATCCTAGCAAATCAAGACGAACGATTGTGCGGAGATTGACTGCACTCCAACTGTTAATCTTTGGGATGGGGCAAAATATCTTACAAACCCAGAATGCTTTCCCTATGCCGATAGCTGCCGTAGAGGGCAGTGTCCAGCCAGGCCGTGTCTACTGAATGGCTCTATGTGGGTGAGCCAGGTGAGTTTCGGGGCAGCAGACGGCTGCAAAGAATCGTTGAAAGGTCGCAGATGCCGTGTCACGTTGTGGAACATGACTTTGGGGTGATCCTTGGTGGTCGACTTCGGTGGCGGCACTTGGGTGGAAACAGTTGGGGTGCGAAAACTGATGTACGAAGGCAACTGTTCGCGGTTTTTCTCAAGGTTTGACCCTAATAGGGCACAGCTGAACTGGTTTCCCTTAGGTGAGACGTTTCAAGAGCAACCTGCCAGAGGTTTAACTGCTTGGGTGAGCTCCAGCTGCTTAGTCTTAGTAGTGCTGAAAAGAAGTTCCCAGTTGGATTTCTATGCGGAATCATGAACCACCTTTCATGAGGATAAAAAGCCAGGTATGAAATCAAGCTGCATCACTTTTGGTGATTATATAAATAGTGGTACCCCGGGAAAAGGATAGTGTTTGCTGAGGAACAAAGAACCCGCACTTGCCTTGGTGTCCTGCCTGAAAGGAAAGCAATGTCCATGGATCGTTCCCGCCGTTTTGTCTCTGCTGGACACCCTTGGGCGGCGCTGGTGGCGTTTGATGCAGCCCTTTGTGCAGCAATGCTCAATTTCCAATATGTGGCAGTTGGCAACGAAGCTTCTGCAGATGCTGGAAATGGTATCTTTTTGACGAAGGAAATGGTAGATGGCCAGGTGAGTAGGGGGATGTCGGCCGTATGAGGGCTGGACTAGGGCCCAGGAACTGAGTGCTAGACAGCTCCCATGCAATAGCAGCTCCAAGAAACGACGGACCTGGGGCAGGTGGAGCACCTTGAAGTGAACCATCAGTTCGATAAGTCGTCCCTCTTCGGCCAGCGCTTCCACCTCTATGCGCAAGAGGTCTTTGCTGTGCATCACTTCTCACCGCTGCAGCAGCTGAATGAACTTCAAATCGCCTACATCTTTGCCACAAGATGTCAGGTTCATTGGGCTGCCAGGATCTGCCATAGATCTGGTTAGTGGTTCGAAGATGTTTGAAGGATATTCACATTTTTCCATCTTCATTGTGACTGTCTATAACTTTTCACAAATAAAACTTGGTTGATTCATGAGGGGGTTCCACCCAGATAGTTTCCATTTACTACAAGCATGGTGACCCCCGAATGATCAGCGGCTAGGGGTTCGAAACACATTCCAGGCGGAACCACCAAGCAGTGATACCATTGGATGGGGCTCCCAGGTGGTGCTTGGTGAAGCTACCGAGCTACACTCGGTCTTAATGCCATGCCAGTTGCGTTGATCACATCTAAAACCATTGAGACCATTGGTCCATTGGTGGACTTTCAAAAGTGAAAGAATTGCACTGATGTCTTCTTTGAAGAGTTCTGATCATTTGAGATGAAGCAAACATGCTGAAGATCTGAGGCTTTTCATAAGGACTTCATCTCCTGCAATTTCAGCCATAGTCAACACTGGTGCCTCAAGTGTGAGAAATGTGCTTTTGTCTTCAGCCTCATGTTTCTCGGAGACTGTATATGTCTGTATTACTGTCTGTATTACTGTCTTTTGCAGCTTCCAGATAGCCTTTCTGTGAGGAGATTGTTGGGAACTGCACTGCTGTTGAATCAAGACGCCTGTTCGGTGGATCCACCCCCCTGCAGATCGATGGCTCCAAATGTGCTGGATCTGGATTCCACACCATATGCATCTGACAACACCAGCAGCCATCATTGTCGAGGTCGGCCTATCTGGAGCCGCAGCAGTGCGTGGAAATCTTTGGAGAAGACCTCTTTGAGAAGAAATCCTTGCTGAAGACCTTTCAACTCCTCTTGGGGCTACTCAGCCGCAACAAAAAGGTTATCAAAGTCGTCAGAGTCATCAAATCGCCCAGGCCAAAGAAGCCCTTTGAATGTGGCTTGGCTTGTTGGGGCTGGAAAGTCAAACAAAACCCACCGAAGAACTGACAGGACTGACACGCTTTTGTTGGTGGATCATTTTTAGCATTTTGTCAGACGCCCCATAGCACACGGCTCAACGCCTCTCAGCTGGTTGTGCTAGCCAGCGGAAGGTTGAGGGTATTGTTTTCACCTGTTACCGCTTCAACCATGGACCTTCGCCTTTGCGGTGGCGAATCGCGCTGGTCGGGCCTCCTCTGTGGAGATATCATGGACAAGGGCACCGGCATTGCGCTGGCTCATGGACAACAAGTGCGGCACTACTTCGATGTGAACCCGGCCACAAAGGTGATGATCTACCAGGCCAAGGTCTCTTGGGATGGTGGGGCGACGCTGTATGGCGACGAGCTCACCCATTGTGTTCCTCTTCCACCAGATCATGCATTAGACCTATCGAAGGTCAAAGAAGTTTGCTCAGGAATGGGCTGCATGGGGTTGGCAGCCAGCTACCTGGGACTTCACTGTGTGGCGGCTATGGATTGGAATCCAAAGGTTGTGGAGCACCTCCGAGAGAATCAACATGAAGGAGCATTGGTGGGCAACGTGAATGTCATTGAGGACAGGTTCAGACTGCATATGACTGGTGGACCTATTCGAGGCACCCTGATGTGTGGGTTTCCATGCCAACCTCTTTCAACTCAGGGGGACTGCCGCGGTGCCAAAGATGACCGAACACAGCCGTTCTACAGCACCCTTCATCTGGCCTGGGAACAACAAATGGGTGCGGTGATCCTGGAGTGTGTGCCGATGGCTCTTGAGGCTGCACACATTCAAGATGCACTGCAAAGATTTGCATGGAGCATGAACATGACGTTACAGCAGAGAGTTCTTCATCTCTCCAACTGCTGGCCCTGCTCAAGGACGCGCTGGTGGTGCCTGATCACACTGAGGGAGTATCAGATTGAGGTTCTTCCTGATCTACCACGAACTGAACCTCCACCTGTGGTTGGAGACCTGCTCTCTGAATGGCCAATTTGGCCCTCAGAGATTGAGGAACAAGTTCGACTCACAGCTCAGGAGTATCAACTCTATATGAACCCCATCTTCGGCACGGACCAAAGGCATTTGCGCATGGACAAGGCAAGTCCATGCATACTCCACTCATACGGCTCCATCCTTGAAGCATGCCCCTGTGGATGCCGCTCTTACCCGCTGTCTCCACATCGGTTGGAAAGAGATGGTGCCAGAGGATTTTTCGTCCAAAGCTCGGCAGATCAACAGATGAGGTATTTGACAGCACAAGAAGCTGCCTTCTTGCTGACGATGCCAACAGGCACCAAATATGCTTCAGAGAAGTTTGGCTTGTCCTTGTTGGGCCAATGCGCTGCGCCTGCACAGGCTCTGTGGGTGGTCGCTCATCTACTTCGTGGAGTTGGACTCTTGGATGATCCTGGACGGTACCTTCGGCTGTGGCTCATGGGGGTCTTGCGATCCTTTTCATCGGTGGTCAGATTCCCCCAGATGAGTTTGCACACTGAGCTGGCCATTTATGAGAATGACGAGATGGTCAAGCACAGTATTCGTCTGGGTGGTGCAACCACGATCAAAAACTTGATGGTGGCTGAATGTCGACTCGCAGGGCATGGGGCCTCGGTTCAGATTGGGGACGCCCTAGGAGTGCTGCAAAGTTCGGCCATTGTGCACCATGGAGCAATCTCTGGTGAATACATCGTGAAGCACAAAATCAAAAGGCAATGCCGAGATCTCACTGACTTGAAGATCCAGGTTTCGGTTTGGGAGAACGGTGCGGTGCAATCCTTTGAAGCTCAAGCTGGGACGCTCATGTTTGAGTTCTTCCAGGGCCTAGGAATTGAAGTGCTTCCAGGATCAATGGTTGATGATCAGGGCTGCATCTGGTCAGGGGACGAACGACCTCTGCAGGATGTCAACATCATTGAGTTCAAGTACCGTGCCAATGGGTTGGACTCTGCTGCGGGCTCCATGGGCAACTTTGGCCTCTCGGACACATGCATTGACCAAGTTGCCCGCAAACTTCTTCGTGGCATGGGAATCACCACCATGCATTGGATGCCTGCGGCAATGGCTACTCAGTGGAGTGACAGCAACTTTGATTCTCGCCTTTTCGATCATTGGCTTCTTTCAGCACTACATGGTCATCTTTTGTGCTGCTGTGCGATTGACTCTCATTGGGTGCTTATGGACATCAATTTCAAGGATCAGATCTTACACATACAGATCATGGACGGCACCACCAGAGATCATTCTTGGGCTACGGAAATGGCCAGCAACCTCAAGAAGATCCTGGCCATCCGGACCTGTTGCATACACCGAAGGATGATCTATGAGCAGCACTATGGCTTCACATGTGGCACAATTGCATTACTTCATCTTGGATATCTTCTGGGAATCTGGACTTTGACTTCGAGCCCAGCAGAACTTGATTGGCATTGCCGATTACTCATGAACTTCCCGGACCCTTGGCTTCTTCGTGCAGGTGCTCTTGGGGACCTTTCACAGGAGGAGAAAGAGGTCGTCTGGAGGCTTCGAGAAGTTCTTCAACAACGAGGAGTGCCAGAACACCTCACAGAAGAACGAGCACTGATGGGATTGAGCAAGGTGGGCCTCTACAAGCTCAGAGGCGCTTTGGAGGGAAAAGACGTTTGGGGCCAACTCAAGGTTCTTGGATCAGCACCAAAGGTCAATTTTCTTTGGATCAAACCCGCAGAACTGGAGGAGCAGATCAAGAAGAGGGCGCAGAGCAAGTTCAAGGTGAACGCTTCGCACAAAAAGGCCTCCAAGAACAAGAGCTCCGGCAGCCAGCCAGTAGTGGTGGATCCTCTGGACCTACAACTGATTGAGGGCACGTTCATTGCAGGAGACGAAGCACCCATGAACCAGCTGAAAATTTCAGAGGTTGGTGCCAACAGATGTGGAATCGCATTTGGACAGCTTAGTGACGTCCAGCCGTACCTGCAAGGGACAGAGTCGCTCACTCTTGGAGGTCTGGGAATTTTGACCACGACACCAATTCCAGTTGTTGCCCAAGGTCTACTACCAGTGACCAATTTGAGGTTTCCAGCGATCTTTGTCCCCACGGGAGAAGCAATTTTGATCGAGGGCTCACTCATACAGCTTGGAGATCAGACCATTCATCGTGTGGAAAATCCCAACAGGATCCAGATTGAAGAGCCGCATACGGTTGTCCTGAAAGTCACGGTGTTCAGGGATGAGTGGCCTCACAGCTGGGATTCCTTCATTGTCTCGCCAGTGAAGGCCATCCTCAATCAATTTCCGGCCTTCGTCTTGTGCAAGGGCATCAGCTGTGGAGATGGCTGTCAGAAGTTTCATCCTCCGGTGGACACGGAACTTGGCTCAGTCATTGCAGATGTCTGGAACCGTTTCTGGCTCTCACTGAGAGGGAAGAAGATGCCACCAATCGAAGCAGACATCTTTCAGGTCTACTTTCGCACACCACAAGTGTGCATGTCCTCTTTGCACTGGCTATCCGGGAAGTCCGGCTTGTACGTGGAGCCCAGATCAGCGGACGGCCGCTCAGTCGATCCCAACATGGCCGTCATCTGGTTGCCAGGATCAAATCTTTCGGAGACCATGCACAAGCAGAAGACCATTGAAAAGACGTTGCCAGTAACCAGATTTGGGAGCAAATATGGAGTTCGGGTCTTAGTCAGGGACGAGGCACAAATCAGGGCCAAGATGGGGGCTGAAGAATCTCCACCCAGAATTCTGGTTCAGCAAATCTATGAGATGAGACCTTTGCCACATGGCACCACGAGGAAAGGCCTGACACAGATGCTCTCGGAACTGGGCTGGGCAGCTAAACCTGTTCAACCTGGTCGGGCAGATGCAAGTGGCATGAGCTGGAAGGTCGGAGCTGAAACGCCTCCTCCTGCTCCGGTTGTGCAAACATCCATGGGAGATGTCACCATCTCGTTGCAGAAGCAGGTGATCACAGACTCACCAATTCAACGAGTTTTCGGTTCTACTCGGACCCAAGCACACCTACGACGCAGGGCTCACAAAGAGGAGAACAAGGAGAACATCAAACCACCACAGGCACAGGATGCGGGAGCTGATCCATGGCTTCAGGCAGATCCATGGGCCAAGTGGCCGCAGCGATCTGGAGGCCAAGAAGGTGATGTACCAATGCAGGTTGTCCCGAAGTTGGAGTCAATTGAAGAGAAGCTGCGTGGAGAAATCTCCAGCGTGGTGGCGGAAGCCACGGACAGCAGGTTTGCCAAGCTGGAGGTCGATTTGGCCGAGATGCGACATCAGCAGGGCAAATTCGAATCATGGTGCCATGAAGCCGGACAGGCCCAACAACATATGCAGGCGCAAATTGGACAATTGGCGGCCACAGTGTCGGAACACTCCGCAGAGCTTTCAGACATGGGAAAGGAGATCAAGTCGGGTTTCCAGAACATTGAAGCTCTGCTGGTGAAGAGGAGTCGGACGGAATGACAAACCGACTCCGGGCCTCGAGTGAGTGGGCTCGAGGTGCCGGGCCAGCCTTTTTCAAGCACCAAATGTTCCCGCAGCGTATTGACTGCACTTTGGGGCAGATGGATGAGCCTATGGCTCTTGGTATGCTGCCTGTTTTCTCCTGCTTCAGCACATTTTGGTCCAGCACTTTCCTATTGCCAACAAGGACACACTCCGTGGCAGGGCGGCTCCAAGGGGTATTTTCTTGAGGAGAATGAGGTTTGTCTCCCCGAGATCGTTCCAGTGGTGAAATTCTCATGGACAGAAGAGTTTCTCCAACAGATGCGGGCCATCGCCACCGCCACTGAATTTGCTGATCCTGGCATTGAGGAAATGGACACAGTGGACAACATCGCAATCCTGGTCAACCATCCAGGAGATAGACATTGGAGATTCTATCGGCCAGACCCACATGGATTTGGTCGCATTCGTTCCATGGATCTCCAGGTCACTACACAAATGCCGCTGTCGGATGTCCAGCGCAGAATCGAAGAA